GCAGCTGATATGAAATATGGGGGCGAGTGTTCAGACCAACTTTGCTTCAAAGCAATATTGATTAGTTACTGTCGACTGAATGTCCACTCTGAGCAGCTGACACGCTGTCATGAAGGTACATCGCAGACAGAACCAGGACCCGCGGACCTGAATTTAGACTAGAATACATAAAGAACAGAGCAGAAGTTTAGTGTCCACCTAAGTGGAAACTGACCTTTTGTTCACCAAACTGTAAAACATTAAAACATGAGCAAGAACACTGCGGAGCAGGTGGTACGGCCGTACAGTGGTATGACTGTGGTATTTTTGCAGGTATAAACATGGTATTCTTAGGTCAAAGGTCAAAGTGTTTATTCGTCATATGCACAGTTAGGAAATGTGTTTCCCTGTACAATGAAATTCTTACTTTACCGTCCACGTCTTAGTGCAGTCTAGTGGTTTTTACAGAACACTGGTGTTATTTCTAGTTATAATGTGGTGGTTCTTGATTGATAACTATGATGGGAGGCGACAGTGATTCAGTGGGTAGAGCAGTCGTCTCCCAACCAGAAGGTTGAAGGTTCGAATCTCGGTGCCACGTGTCGAAGTGTCCTTGGGCAAGACACTGAACCCCCCAGCCTTTGCCCCCGATGGTTAGAGCCATCGGTTGAGTTGGTGCCGCAGATGGCTGACATCGGTTCTGTACCGGAAACAAATTCCTTGTGTGTAACATACTTGGCCAATAAAGGTGATTATCCTTATCCTTATGTGTTTGTTTCTACATATATACTTCAGTGCTGATCAGTTTGCTTTGGGTTCCAGCAGAGAGTCTCTGTGTGATGGATTTAAACAGATGAGTGGACAGGTGGATGTCCAGATCGTTAAAGGACATCAATAGACTATTACCAAAGAGCTGGAACAGGTCTGTAATAACACAATCTTGCGAGAGCAGCTACAGTATATCACACGTTTCCCTCCCACATCATCATTTTGACCCTCTGCTCAGTCTTTGCTTCTGGTTTTACTCTCAACCCCTCCAACACTCCCAGACACCAAACTGGGCAAAGTGTCCTTTCATCACACAGCCGCAGAGCTCCACCGTCCCCTCTCTGTTCACTGCAGAAGAAGAATCCGGCGGTTTGTACATGTGATTGGACCTTTAATGATTCCCTGTTCTGTCCCTCAGGTTTGTCTTCTTCTTGGATCCCTGCAACGTCGACATTGTTCAGAGGAAGATCAAGTCCATGGCTCTCTGTGTTTCTCTGTGTCCCACTGAGGAGCTGCAGACATACGAGGACCTGAAGAGGTTCGCCATGCTCAACGGTGAGGTCACCACGCTGTCACAGGACTTTCACTTAGCTCACCTGAACAGGTGTCCTGTGGACCCACTGAGTCCACTGTCTCGTCTACCGCTGAGAAGATGGACAAGCAGAAGCCGGTGGAAGTTCCTACTGTCACTGGGAGTGATGGGGGGTGTAGTGTGTAAAATACTGTATGTTTAAACGATAACAGTTCACCTGTGAATGTTTGTGTGGGAGTTTTAGTTGGAAAGCAGTGGAAGTGTTAGAGGTGAAAGCTCCATTCAGACAGGATGAACCTCACGGGGGGATGCAGGACTTCATCTACTGCTTCTGGACATGTTAACCCTGGTGAGGCCACAGGATCTGGTCTGTAACAGACCTGGACCTGCAGCAGGACAGAGACCTGAGTGAGGTGAAACAGAGTCAGAACTGGTCGTCCTCCTCCTTAGAGTCCTGAGTGAAAGGTGACTGTACATCCATGGGGACACTGCACACAGGAGCTGCTCACTGCTCATGGGGAAACGGTGACTACATGTGAACTGATACTGGGGGTGTGCGATATATATCGTCTACAATAATTGTTTTAACGGTGTGCCAGCTGGCATTATTGAGTTTGTATAAAGCCAGTCAAAAACACACCTTGGGAGTCCACACATTCGCTGCATCTTGTAGCCGTGTATGATAGACTTCTGCCCATGCGCACTGAGAGTGCACGCAGCATGTACATGGACCTCTGCACCTCAAGTGCTAGTGAAGTTGCCTAAAAATGCATTAGCCAAGTTAAAAATGAATGAACACACAGCACAGAAAGACAAAATACAGACACCAAAAGCCTCACAGTCTACGTTGTTAACTTAATTGCAAGCTGTGGATCATCCTCACTCACACATAGTGTTGGGCTTGTTACTCAAAACATGTAATTATTACTCGTTATTCTTTTCAAAACGTATTACTATTTATTACTCCCTGTCAAAAGTAATTTGTTACACTACCTGTTACATTACATTTGCGTTACACTCCACGGGTTGGTAATATCTTGCTAATTATTTTTTTACCTGGTCCCAAGGACCTTTCTGATCAGTGGTGGCGATGGACAACCTTTCATCCACCACATATTCAGCCACAAGCTTCATTACTACATCGTTACTACATAATATCAGAAACACTTCATAACTGCTCTGACAGAAAAACTGTCTCCTGTGAAAATCTGTGGCACTGGCTCCTGTCATAAACAACATGGCTGCCGGAGGAGCCGTGAGGTCATCTGATCAAATGTCTGCTGCAACAGACAGTGACCAGAGTCAGAAACAGTCGGAGCAGAGTGACACCAGTGATACAGCAGTGTTAATGCTGCCTTTGTTTCAGAGCGTGGACAGGACTGTACACTGGTGCTGAGTCTGCAGACGTGAAATCATCACTGTGACGTGTCGGCCAGCTGCCGAAACCACAGCTGACTGAAACACACACACATCGGCCCTTCTATAGCTGTGAGGACACTCACTGACATTGCATCCCCTGTCCTTACCATGAAGTTAACCGCCACAGCTGCCATTTAAATCCCATCCAGAGTTACGCCCTTGGAATTTAATAGTGGATCTGAGTCTTTTCCTTCTGCTGCATTTTATCAGCTCAGACTGAAACTTGACTTTTGTGTGAAAGTCAAGGACATTGAAAATGTATCTGCTGATCTGAAACATGCTAATAGTAACATACAGGCCTGTATGGGAACCAGTATTAAAACCATCCAGAGAACTCAGCTAGAGGTCGCTGTTCTCTCAGAGCCCTGTGTTTTAGCCTGGATGAGTTCACATGTAGTCTGTCTTCACGACAGCATCACAATGAGCAGTGAGCAGCTCCTGGAGTCAGTGAACCCATAGATGTACAGACAACTGTCACTGGGCCACAGTGTGGAGGACTGGTTTTCACTCACATTGTGACCATTCGCTGCCTAGAAACACACACAAAGGGAGGGAATAACACAAACACCTCAGTACGATACATCACGATGTCACACATGAATCTGAAGTCCAATTGGTCAGTCAGGGGCTGGAGTTCTGTGACTGGTTCAGGAGATAAAAACAGCTGACCTGCCAGCAGGTGAGAGAAATGATGTCAGCTCTGTGGGTGGAGCCTAAGGTGTCCGTGAAGGTGATGATGATTTTTCTGTTTCAGGTTCTGAGCTGTGTTCCTATGAGTTAGCGGCTCATAAATATCCCAGTCTACCTGAGAGGTTCTCCAAATGTCCCAAACTCCCTGTTCCACCCAGGTATGCCCGGCATTTCACCTCAGACATCTGAGTCAGTTTCTTTTTTGTCTCTGACCACTGAGCTCTCTGTCCCGCAGTAAACCGCTGCCGGTGTTTAACCGCTGCACGCCGGTCGACATTTCCTGTTATGGCAAGTTTGCGGAGGCTGTGGTGACGTTTGTGGGTGATAACAGTGTCCTGCACCGACTGATCGCCGGTGTCGCCGCCAGCAAAGAGATAATCATCGGACTGTGTGTGTTCGCTCTGGGTGAGAACAAAGAACCTCATGTCCATCTGTTCATCATCTCAAGTGGCACCACCAGTTTAACCAGTGTGGGATGTTTAGGGGGTGGAGAATACGAAGTCCCTATTGAGCCCACACGGTTCTGATTTCCTTTGTTAGACACACCTTGATATGTTTTTTATTCATGCTGTAGCAGAGATTTGAGCTGATCAGGAAAACTTTCTGTGGCCAGCAGGTGTAAGATGAGTGCTAGTGAACAGCTTCAAGCCTTGTTCACATATAGAAATAATTGTTTATTATGTCTAATAGCACTGATACAAAACCAAGACAGTTCACTTTTGATGAACAGCAGCTGACAGTTTCATCTGATTGCTCTGTTTTACACAATGACACTTGACATGTTTAATCATGTGACTGCTCATGGTGTTTGACCTCTGACCTCTGTCTGTCATCCAGTGCTCTCCATGATCCTCATGGTGATCATTCGCTATATCTCAGCTGTTCTCGTCTGGATCCTCACCTCTCTGGTCATCCTCGGATCCCTCGGTGAGGTCATGTCCTGTCAGTCAAAATACATGCTTTCATTTATCTTTATTAAAATGTGCGGTTCAGTAAAATATATCTGATTTTATCTTCTTCCCGCACCGTGTTTGCTGTGTCAGCGGGGACCAGCGTCCTCTGGTGGCTCTACATTGACCACCGGCTGTACGGGAATAACACCGCCACCTCCAAAGTGACAAAGGACATGAAGGAGGAGGTGCAGGTCAGCAGAGACAGTGGCCAGGCGCTGCTTGTCTATGCTGTCGCCGCCACTGTCTTCACTGTACGTATATCTGCTGTTAAAACACTTATCGCAATTGACCTTCTCTACTGAAGACCTGAGTGAAGTGAAACCAAAGAAGCTGAAGATTGTGTTTGAGATTTAAAACAATCAGCCTTCCCCAGAGGGAAAACTCAGGTGTTGCATTATATAAATAAATGTCAGAAATATAAATAGAAATCCACCTGTCCATTATCTATAGAGCTGGGGTCGGGGGGGGCTGGAGCCAATCCAAGCTGACACTGGGCAAGAGGCGGGGTCCACCCTTGACAGGTCAGCAGTCTGTCACAGGGCTGACATGTAGACATACAACCACACTCACTCCTACGGCCAATTTAGAGTCTCCAGTCAACCTAAGCTACATGTCTTTGGACTGTGGGAGGAAGCTGGAGCACCCAGAGAGAACCCACACAGGGAGAACATGCAGACATATGAAGAGAAATGAAAAGCAAAACTACAAGCCTCAGTCTCAGAGCACCAATGCTCCTTTAAAGCAACAGTACACAACTTGGCAGGTTGGCGACCCCTACACTTGTTGAGTGTAATTCAATTTTAAACCATTGTCATAAACACCAGTTGCACTTTGACTCCTCCTTCTCATAGGCAGTGGTACATGAGCATTTGTGTATAAGACAAAGCTGTTACTGAACTGGGAAAGACAACGTCAGAAGCCAAAGAATCATAACGTAATATTGTAGGATTTTATAGAAATATGACTCTGCATAGTTTATTTATTATGACATCGAGGAGGAACACTAAGAATAACAGCAGATCTTTTTTAGCCTGGTTATACCATTCACATTTGCTTATTAAAGAAAAAACACAGATCTTTTTTAGCCTTACTGAAACACTGCTTGTATTTTCAGATAGTTCACTAAGCTTTTGAATGTGGATGTGTGTAATGGAGTGAAACGTTATTGGCGACACAATATAGGCTCATACTGGACAGTGTAATTTATTATGAGCTATAGCTGCGATGGGTTTGTTAGACCGCAGACTTCAAAGGCTTATTTGGCTTGATGTGACAAAGACGGACCAAACCTTCTGGCCTTTATTAATTTGGGGGGTCAGAGGTGGATGACTTTTTACATCTGGAAAGCTATAAATCTCTGTGAGACAGGGGACGACATCGACAGGGTTACAGCCTGTATTGATGCATTTCATACATACAGTAACATTAGCAGACATGGACACTGCCGTGGTGGCGTTTTCCTGAGAGCAGATCTCTACAGCTCACATCAGGACAGTAGCTATTAACAGTGGCCCTGTCAGGCTTATTTTAGGTCTCAGTGAGTAACAGCCAGTCAGATATTTACTCCTGTCCGGTCACTTGCGCTCTCTTTTTCTCTTCTTCTTGGCTGTGGCGGGGCTCTGGTGATGCTGTAGATCTGGGTGTGTTGTGTTGAGCATGTTTTTACCTGCTTTGGCTGGACAGATCTAAGACATATAAACGCAGGTCTGTGGGACAGATGTCTTCTGACCATACTACATACTGCTATGTCCTGGTGCAGAGCTTGTTCACAATCGCAGTAGGTCACTAGTATCCCATTAAGACGGGAGGACACAGTGCTCTCCATGTGCAGCTGGAACACTGGCATCCTTGCTGACAGCTGACTCTGCTCTGAATGAGATGTGGCTGCCTGCTAAAGAGAGTTAGCTTGGTCTACTGGTGGGTTCTCATAGCTCACATCAAAGCAAATTTCCAAGTGGTCACGTTCTCACCGGAAAAAATATCAAAACTCAATAAAGGCCCAGGGATTTGTCTCTGCATGTGTGAACCCCATAAGAATACTGAGCTAGTGCAAGGCTATGGTGCCGTAAAGCATTGCACATTTTTCATGAAAGGTCTCCAGAACAAATGGTAAATGGTCTTATACTTGTAAGGCTTTTTCTATGCATTGTAGCGCACTCAAAGCGCTTTCACACTATTTGGCCATTCACCCATTAGCACTGCCAAGCACTCACACATTCATGCGTGTCATCACCAGGAGCAACTGGGGGTTCACTGTCTTGCTCAAGGACACTTTGACATGTGGACTGGACAAGCCTGGAATTGAACCCCTAATCTTCCGGTTAGGAGATGACCTCCAAAGGAACAGTGGTCCAAAGTTACATAGTGCAGTAACAGACAGTCCTGGCACGTCGTGGCAATAGCTTCTGGTTAGCTTTGACCTTTTGTTTCAGTTCAGAACCAGGTTTCTTCAGGTCTGAACCTGCCCTCTATGGTTTGTTTCTATTTCAGATCATCTTGCTGCTGCTGATGCTGTTCATGAGGAAACGAGTGGCTCTGACCATCGCTCTCTTCCATGTGGCAGGAAAAGTCTTCATCCACCTCCCCCTCCTCACCCTGCAGCCCTTCGTGACCTTCCTTGCTCTACTGCTGTTCTGGATCTACTGGATCCTGGTCCTGCTGTTCTTGGGAACCACCGGTCAGTTTGAACCGTCAGATACCACCAATTTTTACTAAATATTACCTTTTTGCTCTTAATCTGATGTTCTGCTGTGGCTCTCTCTCCCCTCTGGGTCCTGGTCTGTGTGGTCCTGTAGGGAACCCAGTCCAGAATGAGGAGACGGGGCTGACAGAGTTCAGACTGACGGGTCCTCTTCAGTACCTGACTTGGTATCATGCTGTGGGTCTGGTCTGGATCAGCGAGTTTGTCCTGGCCTGTCAGCAGATGACTGTGGCCGGAGCCGTTGTCACATATTACTTCACTAGGCAAGTCCTCTACACCTGTACACACCTGTAACATAACAGTTACACACCTGTGACATAGCTGGTACACACCTGTAACATAACAGTTACACACCTGTGACATAGCTGGTACACACCTGTAACATAACAGTTACACACCTGTGACATAGCTGGTACACACCTGTAACATAACAGTTACACACCTGTGACATAGCTGGTACACACCTGTAACATAACAGTTACACACCTGTGACATAGCTGGTACACACCTGTAACATAACAGTTACACACCTGTGACATAGCTGGTACACACCTGTAACATAACAGTTACACACCTGTGACATAGCTGGTACACACCTGTAACATAACAGTTACACACCTGTGACATAGCTGGTACACACCTGTAACATAACAGTTACACACCTGTGACATAGCTGGTACACACCTGTAACATAACAGTTACACACCTGTGACATAGCTGGTACACACCTGTAACATAACAGTTACACACCTGTGACATAGCTGGTACACACCTGTAACATAACAGTTACACACCTGTGACATAGCTGGTACACACCTGTAACATAACAGTTACACACCTGTGACATAGCTGGTACACACCTGTAACATAACAGTTACACACCTGTGACATAGCTGGTACACACCTGTAACATAACAGTTACACACCTGTGACATAGCTGGTACACACCTGTAACATAACAGTTACACACCTGTGACATAGCTGGTACACACCTGTAACATAACAGTTACACACCTGTGACATAGCTGGTACACACCTGTAACATAACAGTTACACACCTGTGACATAGCTGGTACACACCTGTAACATAACAGTTACACACCTGTGACATAGCTGGTACACACCTGTAACATAACAGTTACACACCTGTGACATAGCTGGTACACACCTGTAACATAACAGTTACACACCTGTGACATAGCTGGTACACACCTGTAACATAACAGTTACACACCTGTGACATAGCTGGTACACACCTGTAACATAACAGTTACACACCTGTGACATAGCTGGTACACACCTGTAACATAACAGTTACACACCTGTGACATAGCTGGTACACACCTGTAACATAACAGTTACACACCTGTGACATAGCTGGTACACACCTGTAACATAACAGTTACACACCTGTGACATAGCTGGTACACACCTGTAACATAACAGTTACACACCTGTGACATAGCTGGTACACACCTGTAACATAACAGTTACACACCTGTGACATAGCTGGTACACACCTGTAACATAACAGTTACACACCTGTGACATAGCTGGTACACACCTGTAACATAACAGTTACACACCTGTGACATAGCTGGTACACACCTGTAACATAACAGTTACACACCTGTGACATAGCTGGTACACACCTGTAACATAACAGTTACACACCTGTGACATAGCTGGTACACACCTGTAACATAACAGTTACACACCTGTGACATAGCTGGTACACACCTGTAACATAACAGTTACACACCTGTGACATAGCTGGTACACACCTGTAACATAACAGTTACACACCTGTGACATAGCTGGTACACACCTGTAACATAACAGTTACACACCTGTGACATAGCTGGTACACACCTGTAACATAACAGTTACACACCTGTGACATAGCTGGTACACACCTGTAACATAACAGTTACACACCTGTGACATAGCTGGTACACACCTGTAACATAACAGTTACACACCTGTGACATAGCTGGTACACACCTGTAACATAACAGTTACACACCTGTGACATAGCTGGTACACACCTGTAACATAACAGTTACACACCTGTGACATAGCTGGTACACACCTGTAACATAACAGTTACACACCTGTGACATAGCTGGTACACACCTGTAACATAACAGTTACACACCTGTGACATAGCTGGTACACACCTGTAACATAACAGTTACACACCTGTGACATAGCTGGTTGCATTTGGAGAAAGATTCAGCGAGTTCAGAAAGGAAAAAACACTCTGTCCTTCCCTGTCACACCGCTGGACATCGACCCATCCCTGCTGAACATATCCACATTCACAGAGATAAGTCAGCCCAATCTTGAAATTGAACTGGCCGACATAGCGGATAAAGACTCATGGGTATCCAAGTTCAAAAGCCTGACAGCGGATCTTGAAGAAGTCGCCCGTCAGAAGGCCAATCTCGCTAAACAGCACAAATGGAATGATATTGCAAACCTCCCCAAACAAACTTGTTTTTCCATTCTCGACATGTGTGGACATGATAAAGTATGCATTTGGAGTCCTGTCCATCTTTGACTCAACATTATGTGAGCAAGTTTTCTCAAGCATGAGCCTCATAAAGACCAAATATGGCTCCCGCCTCGCAAATGAGAGCCTACAGTCCTGTGTGAAGACCAAAGTCACATCTTCCAGCCCCGACAGGGAAGATCAGCTTCAGAAACAGAAGGCACATTAAACAGGTGAGAACACTAGCATTTAATAGAATATTATTTTTCAGAAAAAAACATTTATTTCAGACCCAAAGCTGATGTAGTTGTTTATTGTATGTTCGGGTCCTTCAGTTGATTGCTGGCCGAGAAAGAAACGCGAAGAGGATGAGAGCACACTGAAATGGACTTGTCAAAAAACGTTACTAATTTACTGTTTTATGTGACATAGCTGGTACACACCTGTAACATAACAGTTACACACCTGTGACATAGCTGGTACACACCTGTAACATAACAGTTACACACCTGTGACATAGCTGGTACACACCTGTAACATAACAGTTACACACCTGTGACATAGCTGGTACACACCTGTAACATAACAGTTACACACCTGTGACATAGCTGGTACACACCTGTAACATAACAGTTACACACCTGTGACATAGCTGGTACACACCTGTAACATAACAGTTACACACCTGTGACATAGCTGGTACACACCTGTGACATAAATGGCAGACACTTTGATAGTAAAGGTTGCCGACCCCTGCTTTAGTTATATAGCATGATATAGTTATATGCTGTTTTTTAATCATGTTTCTAACTCTTCATTCTTTAGGGTCAATATCACGCTGCAGTCCAGCTCAGTCACATGGCTCAGTCGCCTACAATTTAAAACGACCCTTTTGTTTTCATTCCTTTAACATTTAAGGGTTGTTGTAGCTCAGGTTCAGAATCAGAATTTGACTCTGGTACATTCCTTGTGTGTCCGACACACCTGGCCAATAAAGCTGATTCTGATTCTGAGCTATAACAACTCAATTGTTGTAGCTGATAATAATAGTAATTGTGTAATTCTGCATATGGTGAAACTGATATTTTCTGAGACCATTATACTGTGAAAATCTCATACCATTGCAACCCTACTACACACTTGTAACACACCTGGTCGGCTTTGTTCACACACAGTCAGTTTTCAGCCTTGGTGATAAGCTAAGCTAACTAGCTGCTATCTGTAGCTTCGTATTTACATAGAGACACGAGAGTGGGACCAGTGTGAACATGTGACCCGGCACAGAAATCATCCGAATCTACAGACGACTAGAGTTTATCACATGAAGCTGTGCAATAAACTGTTTGTATTTGTGGGTTTACTCAGGGACAAGAACCGACTCCCGGTGACCCCGATCCTGTCCTCAGTCCTGAGGCTGGTCCGGTATCACCTGGGTACCGTCGCTAAAGGGTCCTTCATCATCACACTGGTCAAGATCCCTCGACTCATCCTCATGTACATCCACAACCAGCTGAAAGGAAAGGTAGAAACACCACTGATATACTGACGTGAAGGGGAGACACAATCAGAACAGCAGCTGAAAGCAGAGACATGTTAGAAAGCAGGAAGTCAATGATAGTAATAAAATACAAACACATTAAAGGTGATTAAAGGTAAATATTGGTTTATGCTGCCTGTCAAGGGCACGGCTGTTTAAAAGTGAGTCTGAATGAAAGAAACGATTCTGTTTGAGTTTGAGTCTCAGACTGATCCCCGAGCAGCAGCAGCAGCTAGTGAGCAGAAGTCAGATTTCGTTGTCACCATATTTAATATTTCATCCTCAGGAGAATGCGTGTGCTCGCTGTCTGCTGAAAACCTGTATCTGCTGTCTGTGGTGTTTGGAGAAGTGCCTCAACTATCTCAATCAGGTAAGCCACAGCCCACCGCTCAGCTTTCACTCCTCCTCTTGTTTTCACTGTTATGGTCTCACCTGTGTTTCTATTCCCAGAATGCATATGCAGCCACAGCCATCAACAGCACAAGTTTCTGCACGTCTGCACGTGACGCCTTTGTGATCCTGGTGGAAAACGCTCTGCGCGTCGCCACAATCAATGCTGTCGGAGACTTCGTGCTCTTTCTGGGGAAGGTGAGGCTGAACTACTGTGGGGATCAAGTCCAGATCAAGATTTTTTGTCCCCAGTCCTGAGTCCTGAATCCTTTACCAATGGGTATCTGTAGATGCCGAGTCCAATGTGCTCCTTTTACTTAAGTGTTATTTAACTTTATCTGTGCCTACAGCTGCTTATTACAGTATCTACACACATATATAACATTTAAGATACCTGTTGTTTGTTTCCAAACCACATTTTGCTGAGCAAAGCTGCCTCTGTTGACCTATTTACATTCGCCCTGTCTCTGTGTTTCCTCAGATCCTGATCATGACAACAACCGCATTCGCTGGCGTCCTCCTCCTGAACTACCAGCGGGATTACGCCGAGTGGCTGCTGCCTCTCATCATTGTGTGTCTCTTCTCCTTCCTGGTGGCCCACTGCTTTCTGTCCGTCTTTGAGATCGTGGTGGACGTCCTCTTCCTTTGCTTTGCCGTGGACACCAAGTACAATGACGGCACTCCGGGGAAGGAGTTCTTCATGGATAAAGCTCTGATGGTGAGACAGTGGCACTCTGAACACGTTGACCATTTGTACCAGCAGACCAGGACCAGAACCTGAGTTGGGCCTGGACTGAAGAGAGGCTGATGTTCTTATTTGATCTAAAACTAGTCTGTCAACCACTGTCCCTTTGACGCCATCCCCCTGCTCCTTTTCCACTCCTCTCTGCTCTGCCCACCTCTTTTGCCCCAATTGATCTTCTGTCTTTGTCCCCGCCTGTCTGTGTGCCCTCGCCCCTGCAGGAGTTTGTGGAGAGCAGCCGACGGTTGGAGCGGGTGGTGGAGCGGGTGGTGGAGCGTGGACGGGGCCGGGTGAAGGACGCAGTGTCAGAGGGGGCAGAGATGAAGCCCATGGTGAGTGACAGTGGCAGAGGGTGCATGGCCGGGCAGAAAATCTCACTGAAGGGTTTGGGGGAGGGCTCGGAGGGGACCAGGGGGGAGTGGGAGGATCTTCAGGAGTTCCAAGTGTACTACCTGCTGGTGGGGGTGCTTGTGGACTGGGTGCTGACAGAGCAGAGCAATTTTGTTCTCTGTCTAAGTGAGGACGTCGTCCTCTTCCTCTGTGTCTACCTGCCCACCTCTACCCTCTTCCTGTTTGTCAGCCTACTGCGCATTCCAAGCCCCGCCCCTTTCACCGAATCAGTTGCTGTCACTGCCACGTGCTAGAGAACATGTACTAATGAACACACACTAGCAGATACAGTTCTGTGCATGGTGAATGGATGAACACTGATGCATGCTAACCTTCATCATCATCACAGCTGCTTTTCCTCCACACTGGGGAACAAACTCTTTCTGTTTTCTTACTTTTGTATTTTTGTAACTGAAAAGTTTGTGTTTTTGAAAGTTGTGTTGCAGTTGTGTTTTTCTGTTTGGCCTTAACATCACCGCCGTGCTTTAAGGACTCAGCAAATACCAAAGTCAGGAGGTTCCTCGGGCTTTTGCTCCTCTGATGTTTACATGAACGTTATAGTTTGTGGTTCTGGTCCAAATAGAAACTGCAGACTGAGGTAGCTCCTGTTTGGCCTGTCGCTTTTGAGCAGAAACAGTTTATAACCTCAACACAGCATGTGAAGAAGTCCCCCTTGTGGTCCCGTAGAGGGCACCCTTAAAAATCAGCTTGATCTGAGGCCCTGCTCACTTACCAGTAAATGAATTCAATCAATCAAAACTGAGCTGATCATCAATATTTTCTCTATTTTTTTCTTCCCCGTTGACTGTCATGTAGCATCGAGAGTAACATGAAGAAAGATGCCGTACTGTGTCATCCCATCGGTTCCTTTGGTGTTACTGAGTTGTCACTAACCAACCTAATTTAGACAGATGGCATATTTGAGATCAAACTTCTTGAAAAAGTGACAATCTGACCTCTTTCTGCACCTCATCAGAGACAAGTTAAAAAGTGTGCCTGAGAAACATTTGGATCTTGTTCCCACAAAACAAACAGTCTAATCTCTGGGGGCTTTGACGAAAATGGGTTGTTCATTGCTGTGTGCTGGGTCCTCGCTTCCCCAGAGTGATGTTTTCAGTCATTTCCAGACCTGAGGTCATGTCCTGTGAGTTTTAGCAGCCTGAAATTAAAACCATCCACAATTTGGAATTATCCAGTGTTTTTAGATTAATTATGATTAAATGGACATGCAGCACAACAACTGTGAGATGCAAAACACCACAAAGAATCCCTGGTTTGTGCCTCTTTCAGTCTCGCTCCTATGCAGGAGACATGTCTTGGTTCAGGAGCCCGCTGTCTATCAGTATGTCCATGATGACAGATAAAGCAAAACAGTTACTCTGAAAATATCAACAATAAAAATGTAAAGACCAGAGGGCTATTGCACAAAAGTAGAATTAAGAAATCCAAGATAGCAAGACAAAGCGAGCCTTGACCTAGTCTGCTAACTGCATCCTGGCTTAACACATTTTACGAAGGCTAAGCCGGGCTGAGGAGGTGCAGCTAGGTGAAGCCAGGTCCATGCTGAATGAATGCGCGTTCACAGCTTTCTTCAGCATCCCATCTGGCCGTGCATGCCGCGTGTTAAGTAGAGTCATTAACATGAAAAGACTCTGCCAAACCAGCACAAACCCGGTGCCGGTCGGGTCATTGAGCACATCGATTTAATGAAGTAAATCATGAAAGAAAGCTGTAAATGAAATGTGGCCGATATGGCTCCAGGTCCATGTAGGCTGATGATCAAACAAGACAGTTCCTTGAACTTGGCATTTTAAATAATTAGCTAAAAATAAAACTGAACAAGACTCAAAGTGTTTATTGTCATGTGCACAGTAAGGAAACGCATTTCCCTGTACAATGAAATTCTTATTTTTCTATCTATAATGAATGCCAAACAATACAAGGTGAAATATAAGGTAGATAAATAGTAACGCAAAATCTAAAGGCACTTAAAAACAGCAAGTGGAAACAAATATAATAAAAAATATAAAGAATATAGAAGAATGTAATAAAGAGAGAATGTATGCTACATTGGAGCTGTATGTGCAATAGGCGGCAGTGAATGTGCAATTATATATGTGCAGAAGTGCATGTGCAAACTTGGAATGTAAACAGTACAGGTGGGATTACATGACGTAGTTCCTGATTGTAAACTCCTGCCAGCTGTTAAGGAGTCTGATGGCAGAGGGAAAGAAAGAGTTTTTCAGTCTAGTGGTCCTACATTTCACACTTCTGAACCTCCGGCCAGCAGAAAATCTCACTGAAGGGTTTGGGGGAGGGCTCGGAGGGGACCAGGGGGGAGTGGGAGGATCTTCAGGAGTTCCAAGTGTACTACCTGCTGGTGGGGGTGCTTGTGGACTGGGTGCTGACAGAGCAGAGCAATTTTGTTCTCTGTCTAAGTGAGGACGTCGTCCTCTTCCTCTGTGTCTACCTGCCCACCTCTACCCTCTTCCTGTTTGTCAGCCTACTGCGCATTCCAAGCCCCGCCCCTTTCACCGAATCAGTTGCTGTCACTGCCACGTGCTAGAGAACATGTACTAATGAACACACACTAGCAGATACAGTTCTGTGCATGGTGAATGGATGAACACTGATGCATGCTAACCTTCATCATCATCACAGCTGCTTTTCCTCCACACTGGGGAACAAACTCTTTCTGTTTTCTTACTTTTGTATTTTTGTAACTGAAAAGTTTGTGTTTTTGAAAGTTGTGTTGCAGTTGTGTTTTTCTGTTTGGCCTTAACATCACCGCCGTGCTTTAAGGACTCAGCAAATACCAAAGTCAGGAGGTTCCTCGGGCTTTTGCTCCTCTGATGTTTACATGAACGTTATAGTTTGTGGTTCTGGTCCAAATAGAAACTGCAGACTGAGGTAGCTCCTGTTTGGCCTGTCGCTTTTGAGCAGAAACAGTTTATAACCTCAACACAGCATGTGAAGAAGTCCCCCTTGTGGTCCCGTAGAGGGCACCCTTAAAAATCAGCTTGATCTGAGGCCCTGCTCACTTACCAGTAAATGAATTCAATCAATCAAAACTGAGCTGATCATCAATATTTTCTCTATTTTTTTCTTCCCCGTTGACTGTCATGTAGCATCGAGAGTAACATGAAGAAAGATGCCGTACTGTGTCATCCCATCGGTTCCTTTGGTGTTACTGAGTTGTCACTAACCAACCTAATTTAGACAGATGGCATATTTGAGATCAAACTTCTTGAAAAAGTGACAATCTGACCTCTTTCTGCACCTCATCAGAGACAAGTTAAAAAGTGTGCCTGAGAAACATTTGGATCTTGTTCCCACAAAACAAACAGTCTAATCTCTGGGGGCTTTGACGAAAATGGGTTGTTCATTGCTGTGTGCTGGGTCCTCGCTTCCCCAGAGTGATGTTTTCAGTCATTTCCAGACCTGAGGTCATGTCCTGTGAGTTTTAGCAGCCTGAAATTAAAACCATCCACAATTTGGAATTATCCAGTGTTTTTAGATTAATTATGATTAAATGGACATGCAGCACAACAACTGTGAGATGCAAAACACCACAAAGAATCCCTGGTTTGTGCCTCTTTCAGTCTCGCTCCTATGCAGGAGACATGTCTTGGTTCAGGAGCCCGCTGTCTATCAGTATGTCCATGATGACAGATAAAGCAAAACAGTTACTCTGAAAATATCAACAATAAAAATGTAAAGACCAGAGGGCTATTGCACAAAAGTAGAATTAAGAAATCCAAGATAGCAAGACAAAGCGAGCCTTGACCTAGTCTGCTAACTGCATCCTGGCTTAACACATTTTACGAAGGCTAAGCCGGGCTGAGGAGGTGCAGCTAGGTGAAGCCAGGTCCATGCTGAATGAATGCGCGTTCACAGCTTTCTTCAGCATCCCATCTGGCCGTGCATGCCGCGTGTTAAGTAGAGTCATTAACATGAAAAGACTCTGCCAAACCAGCACAAACCCGGTGCCGGTCGGGTCATTGAGCACATCGATTTAATGAAGTAAATCATGAAAGAAAGCTGTAAATGAAATGTGGCCGATATGGCTCCAGGTCCATGTAGGCTGATGATCAAACAAGACAGTTCCTTGAACTTGGCATTTTAAATAATTAGCTAAAAATAAAACTGAACAAGACTCAAAGTGTTTATTGTCATGTGCACAGTAAGGAAACGCATTTCCCTGTACAATGAAATTCTTATTTTTCTATCTATAATGAATGCCAAACAATACAAGGTGAAATATAAGGTAGATAAATAGTAACGCAAAATCTAAAGGCACTTAAAAACAGCAAGTGGAAACAAATATAATAAAAAATATAAAGAATATAGAAGAATGTAATAAAGAGAGAATGTATGCTACATTGGAGCTGTATGTGCAATAGGCGGCAGTGAATGTGCAATTATATATGTGCAGAAGTGCATGTGCAAACTTGGAATGTAAACAGTACAGGTGGGATTACATGACGTAGTTCCTGATTGTAAACTCCTGTTAGCAGTTTAGGAGTCTAATGGCAGTTGGAAAGAAAGAGTTTTTTCAGTCTAGAGGTCCTGCATTTCACACTTTTGAACCTCCGGTCGCAGGGTGGGGGTCTGAACAGTCCGTGCTGGGGGTGGGTGGGGTCTTTGAGGATGGAGGCAGCTTTCCTAGATGATTGAACCTTGTTTTATCATTGCAAGCACAGTCTTTATGTATTCAGCATAGCTAGTATGAGTAACGTATTATCATGTCAGCTTTAAGGGTTTTGGTGCTCAGTGACAGCACTTCCACCGTTTTGTGGAATGACCCATATAAGATATATGACAATAATAAGAACAACAGTCTTCATGAACACAATTAGTACCAATGACCATCATGTTTTACAGATTAATTGTAAAAGAATTTATTGGTTTCTGATCAGAGTGACCACTGACAGAGCCAATAAGGCACCAGGATCAATCAAGCCTGGCTGTTAGCCTGGTCTGGAGCAGGCTAGCTGCACAGAATAACTCTCCATAGTAACTTATTCCATGCAGCTGAGTCAGGACTAAATTCACCTGCAGTACCTGGAAAAGTCCGGCCTAATCTCTTATCTTGGCTTTGTGCAGTACCCCCCCGGTCTTTGGTGTGGCGCTGAACTCATGACCTCAGTGTCCAGCCCTGCTCCCTGTCTCACTGGTGTTCAGCCACCTGAATACCCATGATGCTCTGCTCTCACCTTCATATCCCTGATAACCACCTGTCCTTCTCCATCCTGTTCATTTGATCAGCATGATGAACTGTGGAACTGTTAACCATGTGGACTCGTTTCCTGTTTCAGGCTCCGGGGACGAGTTCAGCTTGACCAAAATCAGCCAATGGGACTTCTTTAAAATAAGAGACATTCCAAATGTTTATTTTTACCAACGTGTAACATGTTTACTATGGTTTCACTCCAGGGAAAACGATATTTTAATAAGAAACTGTAAAAAGGTAACAATGTAATGAAGCACTTTATATAGAAGCGCTGCAGATTTTAAACCGGCTGATGCATTTTTTTCATAGTGATGTCGTTTTTGATAAAACTAAAGCGTCTGCCCTTAATCTCTTCTAACTTCAGTTCTTTACATCGAAGCCACTTTTTCTTTTATCATTGTTTTTGCTCTGGACATGACCTGAGCATCATGATGCAAACGCCTCACCTGGACTCCACGTTGGATTAGGAGCGCTGTGATGTCATTGGAGGGGCGGAGTCTACGGACAGGTGGAACCTCCACATCCAGCTGTCTTCTGTTGGTCAGCTGATCAGGTTTTTTCTGTGTATGAGAGACTGAACTGATGCACTGCGAGCACATCGATCAATACATCTGATTGATTAGGGATTTATAACTAAGTATCTATCAGATCTGACTCCTCTGATTTAACACAGTTTGACTCATTCTGCTGAATCCTGGCCCGAAAACAGATGTTCAGAGGTCTTTCACTGATCCACAGACCAGGGGTTGGACAAACACCCAGCATGATTTAAATAGAAACTTAACTGACTCAGTGAAATCACTACAAATCAATACAACATCATTTAGGCATGTGAGTTTTAGATAAAACCCGTCAAGGAATTCTCCCATGCTGCTTGAAGTACTCGCATATTTTACTTGGGTAGAAGTACCACACTGTAGAACTACTCAAAGTAAAAGTCCCACAGATGTACTTAAAGTACCCAAAGTAAAAGTATTCACTATGCAGAATGGCACAGTCCATATTAATGCCTTTTACTGGATGATACAGTAATTTGTCCAAGTTGAATTGAAGGTAAAATTCATTTTTGGTACTGAATAAGTAAGTACAGTATCCTTGCTGCTTCTTATGGCCTTTGTCCTTATGTGGTTAGAACTGACTGATTGATTGATTGTTCTGCAGTGATTTTACTTCCTGTGTTGACGTTCTCCTGTGAGGAGGCGGACACTCCGCTGTCTGCGTGAAACGCCAACATTACATTGTGTCATTTCCACAAAACTTCTAAAAAAAAAACTTGAAGAGTTTAAAATGCTGCACAACAGCTGCAGAGTCTTAATGCCAAATGCGTTTTCAGCTTTGTTAAGCTCATCTCATATGTTTAATAAGCCACTAATCTTCCAAGATTCATTAAAACAAATGAATCAAACTGTCTCATCATGTCTGAGACGTTTACTCAGATGACGCTCACATGTTAAACTCGGCAGAGTCATCGGCACAGCTTCAGAAATCAGAACTAATATCAGATGTGATGTTGCAGTGATGTGTTGCTCGCATTGCTCGTGGTGTGACCTCAGTTTCTATCAGAGGTCACTGACCGTTCATCCATACAGGGCAGCAGAGTCACGGTGATGCCAAATGATGCGATCGGCCGGATCACAATGTTTGATCTGTGACATAAATGACTGACAGATTGTCTTTATCTCCACATGCCTGGATCAAAATCACTCGTTCCCATTAAAATCCAGAGAAGAATAAGGTGGAAGGCCTGTGGGTGGAACGTCCTGTTGAGGCGACCACGGCTGCGGTCAGACAGTCAGCAATAACACAAAATGTATCATGTGACCACATCACCAACAACAAGAAGTCTTCCTTATTCTGTTTTCTCAGCATGTTCTAGGTTGAACACATCAACAACTCGACTGTTGGAGGTTTAATGTTCAGTTACTGGCCAAGTGTCCAGCAAGACAACTGAATGAGCATCCTGAGCAAAAAAGGTCGTCTCACTGGTGGGATCAGTTTGTGTGACCTAATGGTCCTGAATGTAGAACATGGTATGCAGTTGAAAGCTCAGAGAAAAGCCAGTAACTCGACATTTGAGTTGTTCTGTCATGTCTGGGCAGCACTTTCAGGAACAGGACATCAGCAAACCGTGAACACAGTGCTGCAGTGACAGCTTTTGGTGCTGTGTTGCTTGTCCCGGTTGCCCCACCTGTTGCCTTGTTGCCCTGCAGGTTGAGCTGTATGTCAGGCTGAGTCCAAATGTCCACCCTCCAGTCTTAAGCCTAGATAAGAACCCAGATTTATTTTCCAACAGTGTTCTTTAGGCAATGTAGAGTCAGCGTCGCATTTGAATGAGCTTTGTGTCAAATGAAAGTCGTGCAGCCCAGAAATCACGTTCCAGCTCAGACCCGGTCTGTCTTTCATGTATTTCCACTCAGCTGAGTCAGATTTAAGCTTCAGATTTTCCTAAAATTGATTATTGTTATTGATCTGGTAACCATTTCCAGAGTCCTTAAAGATTCTTCTGACTTTGTGGTTTAAAAAAATCCTTTGCTGCAACACTGAGATTTCTATGCCTCCATGCTACGGCCAAAGGCATTATGTTTTTGGGTTGTCTGTCCAACCCATTCTTGTGAATGCAATATGTCAGGAACGTGTCTCGAGAATTTCTTGCAATTTGGCACAAATGTCCACTTGGACTCAAGGATGAACTGATTAGATTTTGGGAAACAAAGGTCAAAGTCAGTGACCTGACATCTGTCACATTCCTGTGAATTTGACTGATTGGTGGAGGCATACGACCATGAAGCATTCGTTCTAGTTAACCTGTTTCCCATTTCAACTCAAGTTGCCTAACCAGAGGTTCAACCTGAACTCTTCTGATTACAACGTTATCCAAATTATTTGACTGTTATTATATTGTACGTGTGAGCTTGTATGTCAAAGGTCTCGTGGACTTCCAGAGTCTCCCCGGGATCCCGATTCTACCAGACTTTAGCCAGGAAGTTGCCTGTCATCCGATATGGATGTGGCATTCTCAGTTTGTGCAAGCATTGTTCCTTGAGGAGATTGAGACCTTTCTGTCGCTTGAGCTCTGACTGGTGCTGTGCTAATCACCTCATGTTCATGCAGTGGTCTAATGGCACCAACTGGTGAATCAGCTCTACCTGCTCTTTATCTCCTTCACCCACTCAGCTTAGATTCACACAGCAGGATGGGGTGGAAAACAAAGATATTTTTGGACCGATGTCTGGAAATCCACTTAAAATTTGAGCTACATTTGGATGGAAACTTGGCTTCTGAAATCCCAACTCCATTTCCAGGGCTGGCATTAGCTCATCCTGGTGCAGTCCAAAGGTCTGACATTTGGATTCAGCTGCAGCTGGTGGTTTCAGGGGCTGGGATGTTTTTGTCACCAACCTGCTGATGTGCTGGTGATGAACATTGTTCTGGCTGCAGTTGTAAACTGTATTTTATTTTTCTCTCCTGAGTTGTAACAGGTGCAGCTAATGTGTTTGTGTGACCGTTTTCAGTCTGCAACTGTTTCCATTAGCCAAACACCTCCTTCACTACAACAATAAACCAGTCAGAGTTTCTGCAGCACAAAGACATAGTGAAAAGCTTTTCATCCAAACATCTGGCCTAAAGGCCAGTGTGAGAGCTGTTTAAAAAGATCAAGCCCACGTTATTGTGGAGGACATCTCTTCATGTTGTTGTGTGCAGAACCTCCAGACTTCACTCTGACATTTTGCTTTGAAGTGTAAAGAGCATGTATGTTATAAAGCTGTTGACATCATGGTCACGGGACTCAGCGGTCCGAGCATGTGGTCCAGTTGCACTAGACGGAGTTCTTTCAACACTGGCTTTAGTTTAAAGTAGCTGTAAAGAATTTTAGATGAACAGTGCTTGTAGCTGAGATATTAACACACATTTATTCATATTTAGACATCCTGAAAAAAAAAAACTAGAAGGGCAGTGAATGGAAATATTTAAATGAGCTTTTCCACCCATTTATGCACATTTAGTTTGGCTCATGACACCGCTGTCGCCAGCAGATTAACCTGCTGACTGCAGGAGCTGAAGAGTTTCATTCCAACATCATCATCATTCCATAAATATGACCCAGCTGGTGAAAGAGGAGGGCTACAAATTGTACTTATTTTCATCATTATTTTTATTAAAAATGTCCGTCTTAGTTTCTGAGACCAGTGGAAGGTCTTCAGTTGTCATTATGTCAGGAATACAAATATACTTCATTTACTATGATTGAAAACTGAGTATAGCACCAAGGCAATAAAAAAGTTATACAAATAGGTTTTAACAGGATTAAAGCAAAATGAAACAATATTGTAATCTCAAACAGACTAAACAAATGAAACTGTAGAGTATAAGAAGGAGTAATGTCAAATGAATAAAAACAAAACTCAGTAAGTAAAACAAACGTATTTTACCGGTGTAACATTTCTCTGAAAATGTTCCTAGGAAGTTTCTTGGAAATAATTTTAACTTTGTACTAATTATAAGAGGAAAACTGAAAATTGAGTTCCATTTAAATTATTGACTTGTTAAAGGAAACTTTATTGAATTTTCTGGTGCTACAGCAGCTCCTCGTACATCATCTACTGTATAAGGCTGAACATAGAACTTAGCTGTAAATGTACATAAATGTGTTTTATTATAGCCTATATGTGCACGTTACTACGGTTTAGGAGTGCTAACGGGACACTGTTTAGTCATTTAAACTAGCTAACATTATTATCCTGTTTTGTAAATTGAGGTATATTGTGTTGTTTTGTGAAATGTATTTATATCTTTCCAGTGTTGACTCAACCAGTCCTGCGTGTTCTTTTATGAACACCAGCTTACATTGTTAGCATTTTGATCAAGAGGCATTTTAACTCTTTACTCCAAATGGGTCATATATTAGCTAGCTAACGTCAGCTTTATCAGTTATCTTAGCTAGATATAGAGAATGTGAAGGTACATCACTCCGTGTTGAATGTTGGTAAGCAGGTGTGATAGAGTGAAAAATGGTGCATTTTTCCAAAATTCAACACGGGGTGACAACTTCACGTTCTCTGTAGACAGTCACAGCTGCCATTAGTGGGTGTTAATATTTAGTAACAACTAATCACTAGGTAAGAACTAGTTTTAATTTTGTGATAAAACTCCACTTTAACTCCACGTTTGAACCACGATACAATTACAAACAACTGCCGCAAACAATTGTAGTTTAGCTGGGTCAGAATTTTATCATTAACTTCAGCGTCAGTTGTTGTGGTTGATATGAAGGTTCTTGATTATCAAGATGAACTAGATTACAAATATTTATCAAGTCTTGTCAAGTTCATACTGTTCTACATTTTAGAACTATTCTTTTCAGAAGGGACTGGAACATCCTGCAAGAATTAGGCGGAAGACATTTTTAAGAAGCTAAAAATTAACCAACAAATCTCCTGCAGCTGCTGGGTGTAAGCATTAGTCCCAAAAATACAAAGACTGTTGGAATGAATCTTTTCAGCTCCTCCAGTAATCTGCTTCAGTCAGCACATCCAGCCAATCAGACGGTGTTGGGTGAATATGTGAGCTCTGGATTAGGGACACGCCAGTCAGTCTTTATTTTTGATGTGATATTGTCATAATGAATTGATATGATCACTGACTAGATCAGAAGGGATCAGTGAGCCTCTGATCACTGAGCCACTTCAAGCACCAGGTGACTGAACTTTTTTTTACATCTCACTCACCTGTTCCAGGTGTGTACGGGAGATGACATCACAGCTGACGATAGCTCTTCTTGTCCTTGTTTCTGTCATTGGGCAACTGTTAGTTTCCTGTGCAGAGAAACAAACCTTTAAAAAACCCAAAACGATCTTTAAAAAGGCTAATTTGCAAATATAGCTTCAATTCTGTTAGCACCTAGCATCTTATTAGCATTTAGTATGCTAACACAGGCCTTAGAGCTTATTAGAGAGTCCCAACAGTCATTTTCTTTCAGTCATAAACCTGAAAGATATCTTTCATGTCCAACAGCTGTGAGGGTCTGCGTGACAGAAACTTCTTCCCCCGTCCACAAGGGTCCGCCCTGAATTTAGGATGGTGATCCTACAAATGTGCTACTTGCAAATCCATTTGAATTAATTTGAATAAAAGTGAGTAAGATTTTATTTGTTTAAATGCAATTTTCTGAAATAGTAACACCCTGTGAGTATGTATCCATTCATTTCTTCTCTGAGCTGTGAATTTTAAAATGTTTTAACAAAAATATTAATATTGATCGATTGGGGCGTCCTTAATTTTACATTCACTTGTCATTTTTCTAACAAATCTTTGATCATCATGCTCACTGCATTTTAAATAAGCCACCTTCAATGTGAAGTCTGTTTTGCAGCTTCTTTAAGCCTGGATTGGAGCTGATGAAGGGCCGACGTTTTAAAGAAAGTGACCCAGATGCATGTCCATGTTTTTCAGCTCTGTATCACAGCTTCCTCTCCATAGGGTGTGAATAATCTGCCATTAGATTCACAGGACTAAAACTGGTTTCTTTCAGATGTGACTGTGTAAACAGGAGGTGACCAAGCAAAAAGTAGAATTAAGATGTAGGCCAACACGAGTTGATCTGTCAGGTGTAACACTAGTGTTTAGGTTTCCTCTGCGGTAAAAAATTGTAACATTCAAGAACCTTTTCTTTGGGGTTTTATATTTATCATTTCTTATGTATATTTGTTTTTTAAGAAAAATAATAAAATACTACATTTCAATCTGTGATTTTATTTTTTGAACATTCATTTGAATCCATAAACAAAGTATTGTTACAAAGTAACAAGGAAGTGGTTTTACTGTTCAGTATTAGTGATTTTTTTTTTTTTTTGGACCTGATCTGAGTCTTTTAATACTGCGACTCTGCTGACGCTGAGTCCAATCAGACACTTAAATTTACCTAAAAGGTACCCACTAAATATCATGTCAGAGCTGCCTTCATCTCTGTCATGATTTTATTTGGATGTTTTCTCTGAAGGTGCTTGAAGCTTTAAGCAGTTTGGTGTCCACCTCAAGTGCTACCAAAATTCAACAAATTTTCATAGAAAATAGTTCAACTGAACCATTACAAATGTTTATAAACATTTAAAACTGAGCCCTGCGTGACTGGGAAGATCAGGAATCAAACTACCAACCTTTCAATTGGAAGATGACTGATCTACCTCCTGAGCCACAGTTGTATGAGACCAAAAGGTTTACTGATGACTTATGGTGTTTTTCTTGCTTCCTGGCAGGATGTAGGTAGCACCTCTGTTAGCGAGCTGAACAGCTGAACCTTTTTCATCACCATCTGAGCATCAGCTGGGACAAAACGCTCAGTCACACCATTAGCGTGAAGCTAACGGTGGTTTCTGGCTAAACAAAGATTTTAGACAAAATGACCAAAATCAAGCTATCAGATACAAATCTTCTGAGGGTGAAGACAGACAGTAAGAATATTTACTAAACCTGTCACAAATCACCATCAGATGTGCAAAGTACTGCAGCACCACAATTTTTCAATTTTGTGGCATATTTACCAACACTGATGATGTAAATGGGCAGAGCCACAGCTGTGTTAGTTTGACTAGCTACACCTACACTTGTGATCTGATGCCTGTGCTACAATGTGTGGACCGAGAGGAAGCGTAGAAAGTCTTAAGTTTACAGCCACTGAACTTTAATACATTTGAAGAAATCAACAAAAATATTTTGGAACTGCAGTCACATAGTGTCCTGCCAGTCAAATGATCTTTTACAGTATATCTCTTTGCTTCATAATAAAATATAAAAGATAATTTAAGAGTGGTTATTCACTCATCTGTCATGAGTGGATTAAGGAAAATTCCACCACATTCTCAACTTTATGTTGAGGCAAAATATCTTCAGCATTTAAACTTTTGTTCATGAGTTCATTTTGTTCAATCTGACAAAAATATCACTTATGTTTACATCCTATCAAACACATGTCCCTTGTTAACAAACAAGATTAAGAATCTGCAATTTTGCCAGCAGCTCTGTGAGTCCATATAAATGCTGAGGCGAAGATGCTAAACATGCTAACTTTTGTTCATTTGTAACCACAAACTACAATGAATGCTGATGAGGATATAAATATATTTACAAGCTCTTATAAACCAAACCAGCAAAAACATTATTATAAACCAAAGGATTACACAACTTTGTTTTACAAATCATGCTCTAGATGATGAATATGTTTATTATGGTCAGAATCCATGATTATGCCAGTCTTTAGATATTTTGCGCAATATGCTGGTGTCACTAGGGGAAATGTCAGAAGGTCAGCAAGGTCTGTGACATTTATTCTCTGAAAAATATGGTTATCTGCACAAGACGTAAACTCAAAACATGGCACTCTTAAAAAAGTCACCCTTATGGTGGCACTACAGATAGATATATAAACAGGTAGATGACAGAAAACAATGAAATTTGTTTGGCATAATCCATTCCAGGTAACAGTATTCCAATTCCAATGTCACTAGAACATCCAATGCTAAGTTGTCAAGGTAATATTAGGAATAAAATATTTATATAAACTACTTGGAAAATCTTAGATTACCAAATTGTTCAGAGACAACATCTGGAGAACATGAAGGTTTGTAAAAAATGGAATGAGATATTTCAGTCTGGTCCAGTTGTTTCTACAGACGGGGCATGTGGATCACTAGTTAGTACGCATCTCCCAACAATTTAAACATGATGGGCCAAAGCTAAATCAAGTCACTCCCTGTGTGTTATAAAAATTCAGTTATTAGACAGATTTTTACTATTTAATGTGTTTTAAACTTTCAGAACAGAGCCATGTGAGAAACTGGCTGAAGGATGTTTTCTGTCTTTCTTGTGAAACTCTGTGTACTGTGATATACTCAATTACAGACTGTTCCAGACAAAGTGAGACACAACCGTCAACTGTAGGATAAGTATGTGTCCCAGTATGATTAGCATCTAAGTCATGTTATCAGGGTGCACCTGTTTACTATATACTATGTTGTATGAACCTACCTCACTCAGACAACTCTGTATGCTCATGCTGACTTGTCTCCTTGCTGCAAGTAAACTAATTATTTACAAAGATTCCAGTGACTTTGTTGCTTCAAAATTCTTTTGACACTGTGTAAAGATTTTGTCTACAAACGAGCAGTAAAAATGACTACAAAATCCAGTGGTGGAAGAAGTACTCAGGTTGTTTATGTAAGTAAAAGGAGCAATACCACAGTGTAAAAATACTCTGTTACAAGAAAAGGTCCTGGATTCAAAATGTCACATTAGTAAAAGTCCAAAAGTATTTGTATAAAATATATTTAAAGTACTAACAGTAAATGTACTCAATTTGTAAAATGGCACAGTTCACATTAATGTATATCATATTATTGGACTATAATTATTGGTATTGTCTGCCCTCTTTTTGACTTGTGAGGTGTACAGTCTGTAACAGATGATTCTTTCGGCAGTCCTGACTTTGCTCTTAGAAAATAAGATAGACATGCTTATTTATTTGCTTACTTACTTACCTGATATACTGTAGATAAAACCATGATGTGACACCTACGGCAGTAGGTGGTGGTATGTCTCTAATTACTTTTTTATTTTTATTTATTTTTTATTTTTTAATGCCTTGGGCTTTATTATCGGTCCACACTCCAGCCCAGCAGGTGGCGGTAATGCACCTTAGGTTGGTTTACGAACCGCCACTAAACACAATAAGACGAAGACTACCAGCAGCAGGAGGTTACAACGTTGTGCCGTATTTTGATGGATTCAATTATTTTTTGGAGCTAAAACATGTACGACCAGGACGAAGGTTAGTGTCATCATCTGCAACGACTAGCATTAAATGACCGTCTAAACTTTAGCAACACACAGGCTGTTTACACTTTAGTAAGATAAGCAGACGTGGACTGCATTTGATACCATGAACCACCGTTAGCTGTTCGCTGTTAATGTCAGCTTCCCATCTGAAAACGTCTAACCTACCGAGTGAATATAGGCTACATGTTGTTGATAACATCAGTAATTGTAAATTGACCTGGTGTAAGTAATACTCGAGCTAAATCTAACATCATCTGTAACATAGGCCTTCATCGACTGACATACTAACAACGGCTAATGCTAATGGCGCGGTGCTTCGATGCTACCAAGCTAATCTTGGACTCCTATGGTTTGTAGTTAAATCAGTCAGTCAAAAACTTTATTGCCAAGTATGTTGAAATACAGTGAATTTTATTCCGACCCCCCCCACCCCAATAAAACAGTAACATTTTTTTTTTTAAATACATAAACACACAAACTGTTTGTAGCTGTAAATACTTTACCAGATATTGCAGTTAAAGTATAAATACTGCGGTATCATTTTCCCATTATTTCGAGCATAATTAAATTAATTACTTAAAAAAAACAACAAGAAAACCACTAGTTATATATCCCAGCTCCAGCAGATTATACTAATTACACGATCCTTGTTTGAAAAGAAGACAAAAGGTATTCTAGTCATACCCCCTTTTATCTATTTTATATTTTCTTATTAGAATTTATCTAAAAAACAAGACTCAGTTATCTGCTACCAGTGTCCATCACACCCATCTCAATCAATTAAACATTTTGCACAGATTCAACAAAAATATTAAAGTAAAACATTTACCAACATTGAAACAATCCAAAAGCAAATCAGATTTTAACAAACAAGATGTCACATATTCATATATTATTGTTGTTGTTGTTGTCATTAAGGAGCCTTTTAAATGTGATTAATATTCTATGGTTTCATTTATTTACTACAGTTTTAACACCTGACAATTTATTTTCTTCTGTTTCAACAGTCATCAAACCACAACAAGTTCAGCTGAAGTCTTCAGTCTTATATAAGATATTGATCACCAATATTATCTCTAATGCTTATGTATTTTTGTCAGATAATCAATACGATGAAGATGATGATGAAATCACTCCAGATTTGTGGCAGGAAGCATGCTGGATTGTCATCAGGTAATATTACCTGTATTTTACCTGTGTTGATGTACTGAAGAGAAAATACTGATAACCATCTTTAATGCTAATGGATGTATTAACACATCTCTCGGGGTGTAAAGGTACACGTTTCTGTGCCAAACTCTTTTCAGGACAGGACTAGGTTCGGTTAAGGGTTGGGAAGTTGAAATTGATTCACAGAATGACAACTCCTATCTTCTACCATTCTAAATTGATTCAGAAATGCTAATAATCAATTTTTGTAATAATATTGACAGAATGAAAAAGGTGGAACAGAACCGCAAGGCTGGTGTATCACACGGACAGCGCACACACACACGAGTTGTGTTGTAATGTTAGTTCATCTTCAGAAAAAGAAATCATTTCGGTGTGTGTTAAGGACTTGATAACCCTAACCCAAAGCAGCTCAACGACGCACACTGCAGCGCTTAAGTCAAAATGGTGATGCAAAGAGAACATGTCATTTTTGAAGGGTAGTGGTGGTGGCATATGGATGGATGGAGAGGAGTTCAGAGCATCATGCCCCCCACCAATTTAAGGTAGATATACTGTAGATTGACTGTGGTTCGGTGGGTAGAGCAGTCGTCTCCCAACCGGAGGGTTGGAGGTTTGAATCATGGTGCCTGCAGTCCACATGTTGAAGTGTCCTTGGGCAAGACACTGAACCCCCCCCCAATTGCCCCTGATGGTTAGAGCCATTGGTTGGCGCCACAAGTGGCTGCCTCGGTTCTGTACTGGAAACAAATTCCTTGTGTGTAACATACTTTGCCAATAAAAGTGATTATCCTTGCTGTAGTACACATGCTGTTTTCTGCTGCTGCAGATGTAACGTTAACAACAACACAACAGCGCTCTGCTTTGTTCTTCCCACTCCCATTTACAGTATATCACACACAGCTATCAAAAACCAGTAGTGGAAGAAGCAGCCTACTCATATTGTTTACTGAAGTAAAAGTAACTATACCATAGTTTAAAAATGCACTAGCTGAAAGCCCTGCATTCAAAATATTGTAAAGGTAAAGTAAAGGCACAAAAGTATTTGCATCAAACTATAACCTAAAGTACTAAAAGTACTCTATGCAGATTGGCACATTGATATTATTGGGTTATAATTATTGAGGCATTATTGTGTTCACCACATTTGATACTGCAGCTGGTAAAGGTGGAGCTAATTTGTAACCTTGTATATTTATAATCAAATACTTTACATACTGCTGGGTAGTAGCATGTGAAGTACTTGTTTTTGGTGCTCATCAGAACCAGTTAGACTGTTAGGAGAGTGACGATACACTTGGCTCATGAGATCAGATGATACACTATATTGGGTTTATTACAACAAGACAAGGTGTTATTTTTGTTATTTATGTCTTAGAAGAAAAAACTGCCTAAAATTATTTTAACAAAGTGTGCTGCCTGTCTCATTCTGACAGTCTAGGCAATACATATTTAAAAAAATAACCCTAAACACCTGACTGATAGTCAACTGACAAAATTCTTAGTGGGATACAGCCCTAGACCAACCAGTCTTCAGAGCATTCTGGTTTCTTCCAGCTCTTATTTTGACGAGAAGGGTTTGGTGCGACAGCAGCTGGATTCGTTTGACGAGTTCATCCAGATGTCGGTTCAGAGGATCGTGGAGGATGCGCCACCCATCGACCTGCAAGCTGAAGCCCAACACACTTCAGGGGAGGTGGAAGAGCCGGTGAGCGACAGCTCCTGGACCAGGCACTAGAACTGGAATTTGGACCTGTCTGTTTGTTGTCTTTAGGGTTGGTGTGTCCTGGTTTTAAGATAAAGCCTCTATGACATCACTAAAACATCAGTTTTATGTTTCAGCCTCGTTACCTGCTGAAGTTTGAGCAGATCTATCTGTCCAAGCCCACCCACTGGGAGAGAGATGGAGCTCCTTCTCCCATGATGCCCAATGAAGCCCGACTTCGAAACCTCACGTAGGTCTCATCTGGTCTGTTCAGACTCACCTGTCTCATCTGTGGCCTTATTTACAGTGAGGAACAGAAGTATTTGAACACCCTGCGATTTTGCAAGTTCTCCCGCTTAGAAATCATGGAGGGGTCTGAAATACACATTGTAGGTGCATTCCCACTCTGAGAGACAGAATTAAAAAAAAATATTTCAGGAAATCACATTGTATGATTTTTAAAGAATTTATTTGTCTTGCACTGCTGAACATAAGTATTTGAACACCTGAGAAAATCAGTGTTAATATTTGGTACAGAAACCTTTGTTTGCAATTACAGAGGTCAAACGTTTCCTGTAGTTCTTGACCAGGTTTGCACACACTGCAACAGGGATTTTGGCCCACTCCTCCACACAGATCACCTCTAGATCTGTCAGGTTTCGGGGCTGTCGCTGAGCAACGCGGAGTTGAAGCTGCTTCGGGTCGTTGTCATGTTGGAAGACCCAGCCACGACCCATCTTCAATGCTCTGACTGAGGGAAGGAGGTTGTTGCTCAAAATCTCACAATAAATGGCCCCATTCATCCTCTCCTTAATACAGTGCAGATGTCCTGTCCCCTTCGCAGAAAAGCACCCCCAAAGTATGATGTTACTACCCCCATGCTTCACAGTAGGGATGGTGTTCTTGGGATGCAACTCATCCTTCTTTTTCCTCCCAACACGACGAGTGAAGTTTAGACCAAAAAGTTCTACTTTGGTCTCATCTGACCACATGACTTTCTCCCATGCCTCCTCTGGATCATCCAGATGGTCTTTGGCAAACTTCAGATGGGCCTGGACATGTGATGACTTGAGCAGGGGAACCTTCTGTGCAATGCATGATTTGAAACCATGACGGCGTAGTGTTCTACTGACAGTGACCTTTGAAACTGTGGTCCCAGCTCTCTTCATGTCATTGACCAGCTCCTCCCTTGTAGTTCTGGGCTGATTCCTCACCTTTCTTATCATCAGTGATACCCCACGAGGTGAGATCTTGCATGGCGCCCCAGTCCGAGGGAGACTGACAGTCGTCTTTAGCCTCTTCCATTTTCTAACAATTGCTCCAACAGTTGATCTATTTTCACCAAGCTGAATTTTAATATACACGTTGACACGAGGACAATGCTCAAATTAAGTAAACCACTCGCATGTGAAAGTGGATGTCTTAAACACTTGACTATGGATCATAAATAGACAAGATTTGGTTTGGAATGTAACCCAGCTGCTTGAATGGGTATCACATTCCTGACACGACTGTTGGTTTGATATGCAGTAAAGTTGAACCCTTAAGAAGGCTCAATATAAGATCAGGCCTTGGTTCACTGCTGTGTCGTCAATTTCCCTCATGTCCAAAATGTACATATACCCAGTTGAGAGTTTACATATAGGTGCACAAATTCTCACACTAAGGATGTTTTCATAAGTCCTACCTTTTCCATGGGAAGTGTAGTACATAAATCTCAAGCCCTGTTTTGTGCATATGCACCATTTATATACAACCAATCAAAAGTTTTGACAAACTTTACCAACTGAACTGTAAATGAGGCCCAGGTCTGCTCACTTGTACCTGTCGTCTTGTTTCTCTGAACCAACCCCCAACAGGTACTCGGCACCCCTGTATGTTGACATCACAAAGACCATTATAAAGGAGGGGGAGGACCAGCTGCAGACCCAACACCAGAAGACCTTCATTGGTAAAATTCCCATCATGCTTCGCTCCACCTACTGCCTGCTGAGCGGTCTGACGGACCGAGACCTGTGTGAGCTCAACGAGTGTCCACTCGACCCTGGAGGTTATTTCATCATCAACGGCTCTGAGAAGGCATGCTTTGACATCATGGTGCACCATGTGACCCCATCCACATTGGGGGGGGGGGCTTTATGCTAGGCTTTAGCTTTGTATTTATGATACAGGCGTGTTGTGTCAACCTGAACATTTCACCTGGTCTGATCACTCTACATGAAACTCTCAGAAAGAAATACACATAAGATTTATCTGAATGTGGAAGTGGTCCTTCATAAACCTAACAAAGAACATACGACATGCAAATCCAAAAACTTTCCACAGGTGCTGAACCAACAACAGCTTAAAAACAAAAAAGTTTGCAGACTGTTTTAAGCTACCAATAATTTTCTTCAATAGCAGCAAGGTTTCGATCTATACCTTCATCAGGTATTATCAATGATATGATAATGCCATTTTGGTTTCATAAACCTAAACTAAATTTTATCATAAACAGTCCTGTCAGATGGGAATACTATTATCTTCCAGATTAACTGGTACGTTGGTGGTTTGTTTAACCTAACTAAACTGACTGTGGTTTTTAGGTACTGATTGCTCAGGAGAAGATGGCCACCAACACGGTGTATGTCTTTGCCAAGAAGGACTCCAAGTATGCCTACACAGCCGAGTGTCGGTCCTGTTTGGAAAACTCGTCGCGTCCCACTAGCACCATATGGGTCAGCATGATGGCCAGAGGAGGACAGGTGAGTCCTGTTATTCACCTGCAAACAGGGCCTTTACCATCTTCTCTTTACACAGTTGTGTTTCAGCAAATTTCATGTAACTCATTCAGTCCGTGAGTCTGTTATTGTGCCATCATGCAAATGTGATCACTTGACTGACTGGTTAACTCAGTGATTGTCTCTCTCAGGGAGTAAAGAAGAGTGCGATTGGTCAGAGGATTGTATCCACGCTGCCCTACATTAGACAGGAAGTTCCCATCATCATCGTTTTTCGAGCTCTGGGCTTTGTGTCGGACAGAGACATCCTGGAACACATCATCTACGACTTTGATGACCCCGAGATGATGGAGATGGTCAGTGTGTTGATCAGTTATTTATCTGTTAACTTGTCGCACAGTAAAGCCACTGGAGGGGTACCAGCAGGTAGCCGGTGTTAATCATGCCCACTGTGCTGTGATGTCATCAGTAGTGTCACTGTGTTCCAGGTGAAGCCGTCTTTAGACGAAGCATTTGTGATCCAGGAGCAGAATGTGGCATTGAACTTTATTGGTTCCAGAGGAGCGAAACCTGGAGTGACAAAAGAACGAAGAATCAAATACGCCAAAGAAGTTCTGCAGAAAGAAATGCTTCCGCATGTTGGAGTCAGCGACTTCTGTGAGACCAAGAAGGCTTACTTCTTAGGGTGAGTTCCACCTGAAATTCACCTGTACAGGTAAGAGACAGGTGTTGTACAGGTTTGTGTGTGAGAGACCTGCAATCTCATTTCTTAGGGCATGACTCCTGAAATGCACCTGTATAGGTGAGAGCCCAGTGTTAATTTCATCAATAAAGACTTTGATGAAAAATATTCATTTACAACCTGTTTTTCAGAACTAGAATAAAATTAGAACAACATTTGATAATGAGAACTATGATGGAATATGTAAAATTTTTTTGTCAATGAATAAAATGTAAACAATCATGAAAGATGGATGAATGGACATGAAGTAACTTAATGACCTGCTGCATCTCTGGAATCACAAACTGTAGCTCCTGATTGGAAAAACCGTTTCCTCTAGCCAAAGCATGTCTTTTTTGGGAGCTGCTTGATGTGTTTCACTGCTGTTGATAAGCTACTGTCTTACATTCAGTAATGTTCTGTCTCTGTCATCTTCATGTGTCTATGGGCATCGCACAGGTGTGTCAGGTTTCATCGTCTTCGGTGCTACTGTGTATTGCACTTGGTAGTATTGGCGTGTTACTGTGTATTACTTTGTTTTCAGGTACATGGTCCACAGGTTGCTGCTCGCTGCCCTTGGCAGAAGGGAGCTGGATGACAGAGATCACTACGGCAATAAGAGGCTCGACCTCGCCGGGCCATTGTTGGCCTTCCTGTTCAGAGGGTGGGGCTTCTCATTGTGTTTATCTTTGACCTCTGACCTTGTCTGCTCAACTTAACAATCAGAACATACACATATAAACATACACGTAGTACTGTGCAAAAGTTTGTCACTTTAGATGTTTAGATTCTTCTCCACCATGCACGCGTTCAGGAGGCATTTGATCCATCCCAAATTCATGCTGCAACTGAGCCCAGACCTCCAGCAGAGTCATAAAGAACCATGTGCAGAGACCAGTAGATCCAGGAGTCCTGCAGCAGGTGGTCTGGCCCCCACAGAGCTCTGATCTCAACATCATGGAGTCAGTCTGGGATCACATGCAAAGTTGAACACTGAGGCCACCTGAGTCCACAGGAGAACTCTGGCAGCTGGAACAAGCTACCTGCCAGGTATCTGGAGACACTGTCTTCAAGTGGATTGAGGAGACCTGGGCTGGTTTAAAAGCAAAGGGGGACACAGCAAATACTGATCTGGCTTGGGTTTGCTCTCATAACTGCACTTTGGATGAAGTTCACCAAGAATTAAAAACGGTTTATAACATTAGTTTTGAAACGGCCTCGATGTGGTTTTTTTTTTATTTTTTTAGTGCCTGTAGCTTTTGCACAGAATTGTACGTGTATCAAGATACACACAAAACACGTTTTCACATCAAAAGTACTGCATGATGTGTAATGTGTACTCTGGTTTAATTGTTGTCATTGTGAGCAATAAACTGAAACCTCTTTTCTGGCTATTAAGTATGTTTAAGAACCTGCTGAAGGAGATCAGGATTTATGCTCAGAAGTTCATCGACAGAGGGAAAGACTTTAATCTGGAGCTCGCCATTAAAACCAGAATCATCTCAGATGGACTCAAATACTCTCTGGCCACCGGAAACTGGGGTGACGTGAAGAAGGCTCACCAGGCCCGAGCTGGGGTGTCTCAGGTCAGAACAGCTCTGCCATCTGAACCTGTAAAGGAGTGTTTAGCTTTTGTTAGTTGAAGCGCTTCAATCTGCTGCTGAGTTCAGAGGTCTTTTTCCAGCTAAGCGGGTCAACATAGCAGTGTTGAATGAATGCTTTGAGAAGAATTTTCAGTTTTCAGCAGCTCAGTATAGCATGCGTGCAGACACACCAATATTTTTCGGATTTATATTCATCTCTTGTTAGACAGGATCATGTTTTGAGGTCAGCATGCAAACATCGTCCTGTTTTATTTTTCTGCTTGTAGGTGTTGAACCGTCTGACCTTTGCATCCACTCTGTCCCACCTCCGCCGAGTGAACTCTCCCATTGGCAGAGATGGCAAACTGGCAAAACCCAGACAGTTGCACAACACGCTGTGGGGAATGGTGTGTCCGGCCGAGACACCCGAGGTACAAAACACAACACGCACCACAAATATCTAGAGCCCAGATGACCTAAATCCAGTTTCATTCAAGTGACAAGTGTAAATACGTCACACTGAGCTCTACAGGACATTTGTTGTGGATGATTAAAACCTAAACTTCAACTGAGCTTCCTTCATAATGACGTTGATTAGTATATTGATGAACAACCTCTGTGCTTCAGGGTCATGCTGTGGGTCTGGTGAAGAACTTGGCCCTCATGGCCTACATCTCTGTGGGCTCACAGCCATCTCCCATCCTGGAGTTTCTGGAGGAGTGGAGTATGGAGAACCTGGAGGAGATATCACCCGCTGCCATTGCAGAGTCAGTCCCTTGTTATTAATAATCCATTTGATCAAACTGTTCCTTCATCAGAATCATCTTTAATGGCCAAGTATGTTTCAACATACAAGGAATTTGATTCTGGTACAGTGGGTGTCAGTGTAGGCAACGGATAATAGAAAGCGACAATGAAAACATAACATAAGTGAATAAATAAAAATTGTGTGCATTAAAATAATATGTGCAATCAAATATAGTAAAAGAATGCAGGGGAAAAGAGAGAGACCATATTTATACCCATATATACATTACGGCAGAAGAACTTTCAGACTATGTGTGATGGTTATATTTAGTTTATTGCACTGGAGGCTACATAACGCTCATACATGCATTATTACACCTGCCTCGTTTTTCTGCCTGCATCACATAACGTTTCCTCTATCTTTGTCTCGAAATTGACAGTGAAGGGACATGTCTCTGCAGGACAGCAGCTGTTACATAAGAAATAATGGAAACTCAGATGATTCGTTCCACACCCACTTATCCATATAAGAATGATTACAGTAATACAAAAATATACAGTACAGTATAAAGTAAAAAATAAAACAAATTAACCTGCGCTTTACCTTTGAAAAGGATCTTGGCTGGCGTGAGGGGCCATTGTTGCATTACAGATGTTGACTATACGAGTGAGACGCAAGAACCATCGGCTCAGTTGTGGCCTACATCACGTGACGCGACGCTCAGCAAAAAAAGCGTACCTACTACTCGTATTGCGAGACCTCGCTCGTTTATCAAATTAAAATTTTTTGCTTGTCTTGCAAAACACTCGCAGACTGGGTTACTTGCAATCCACGCTTTTACTGTACAATGTTCTTCTGTAAGGCCACAAGTAAACAAGATGAGACTGAGTGGGGAGTTGGGATGTTTCAGTTCCATTTTAGTATTCTGGTCAACTTGGTGCTAGCGTGGGCCTGCGGCTGTGGCTCAGGAGGTTGAGCGGTCATCCCTAACCAGAAGGTTGACAGTTCAATTCCCGTTCTTCCTATTCCACATGTCGGGGTGTCCTTCAGCAAGACGCTGAACCCCGAGTTGCTCCTGATGACCAGGTCATTGCCTTGCAAAGACTGCACCACTGTCATTGTGTGAGTTGGCACCGCAGATGGCCACCTCGGTTCTGTACCGGAGACAAATTCTTTACACATTACACATACTTGGCCTTAAAAGTGATTTTAAAAAAATCACTTAACGTGCTGTTTAAGTTCTCAGATGGATGTAAAGATGGCAGCGTCACCTTCTGTCAGAGTGAAAACTTGGACTTTATTATGGCTGCTCCCTGAAAATTGACTAGTCGAGTCATTAGTCAAGAGACCTGTCAGTCAACTGAGACTCTTCTAGTCAAATCTTTGTTTTTATGGTATTATATTTTATTTTTTATCAGCCAGTGTGCATTACAATAGAAGGCAGCCCCCATTAGTTTGTCTTCTCCTCCTCATTTTGCTGTGCCAAGCAGCAGTTTGCTTAATACTCGTCCCTATGATAAGAGGAAATGCCCACTTCAACTGTGACATTGTTCAATGTGTGGATGTATAAGGTCCCACTACACTATTGAGCAAACTGCTGCCTACAATGAGGAGAAAACACACCAAAATCCACTACGACAAGACACATAAAGGTGACATTTGTACTTTAGTACTTTGGTAGTTCAGTTCAAAGTGTTTATTTGTCATATGCACAGTTAGGAAACGTGTTTCCCTGTACAATGAAATTCTCACTTTGCCGTCCACATGAATGCCACAAAATACAAATGAAATATAAAGTAGATAAATAAGTAACACAGAATCTAAGGCACTTTAAGCAGCAACAAATGCAGCAATATAGTAAAAAATATATAAGAATATAACAATGTATGCTGCATGGGAGCAGCATGTGCAGCAGTCAACAGTCATTGTGCAAACTGAGAATGTAAACAGTACATCACGTATTTCCTGGTAATAAACTCCTCAGCTGTTTAGGAGTCTGATGGCAGAGGGAAAGAAAGAGTTTTTCAGTCTAGTGGTCCTGCATTCCACACTTCTGAACCTCCAGCCAGAGGGTAGGGAGGCGAACAGTCCATGCTGGGGGTGTGTTGGATCTTTGAGGATGGAAGCAGCTTTCCTGCGCACCCTGAAGCACGACCATGTGACACTGAACTATGAATGGTCACTTGTATTTGTTAGAAATTAACCCAATTCTTTTGTTGGAAGCATGAGGAGTGAAGACAGCAGAGGACTGTTTAAAATAAACAGAAAGTTTACTGAAAGTCTGATCACAGGAAAGTTTTTACAGCACTGGATTAGAGAGAAAGAGCTCCTGCAGGAAAACCAGCTTCTGAATCCGTGTCGTCCGTGAACTTCAGGATGATGTTGTCTTTGTGGGAGGCGACACAGTCATGGGTGAACAGGGTGTAGAGGATGGGACTGAGGACACATCCCTGTGGGGTGCCAGTGTTTGTAACAATGCTGGCTGAAGTCCTATTCACAATCCTGACAGTCTGGGGCCTGCCAGTCAGAAGGTCCAGGAGCCAGTCACAGAGGGTGGGGTGCAGACCCAGTGTGGACAGTTTGTGGGTGAGTTTGTGGGGGACAACTGTGTTGAAGGCGGAGCTGTAGTCAATGAAGAGTATCCTGATGTAGGAGTCTCCATTTTCCAAGTGAGAAAGGGACTAGTGGAGTGCAGCCGCGATGGCGTCTGAGGTGGCCTTGTTGGGCCGGTAGGCATACTGCAGGGGGTCCAGGGTGTCCGGTATACTGCTCTGAATGTGGGCCAGCACCACTCTCAAAACACTTCATAATGACTGGGGTGAGTGCCACTGGCCTGTAGTCATTCAGGAAGGTGACCGAGCTCTTCTTGGGAAGGGGGATGATGGTTGTGGTCTTAAAGCAGGTGGGGACGATGCTCTGGCTGAGGGAGAGGTAGTAGAACGGTATTCAAACATCATGGTGTGCTTTTACAAGAGAAAAGATTTTAACGGTCGCCGCAATGTGGCTGATTTTGCGTTTGTGCATCCAGGTTGTTTGCCCATCTCTTTTAAAGTGTAATGTTAACGTCACACCAGTTGATTTTCTGACAGTATAGTGCTGGACAGCTGACTAACAAAATTCTTAGTTGGGTACAACCCTAGACTTTATGAATAACTACTGAGGTGTTGAATTTGTTATGAGGAACCAAACTTTCATCATTTAAAAATTGAACTGACCCTGTAATGAAACTCAGTGAGAGATCATTGTGTGCTTTTATTTGTGTTTAAATGATTTAGTGCCACTAAGATCTTTGTGAATGGCTGCTGGGTTGGAATCCATAAAGATCCCGAACAGCTGATGAACACACTGAGGAAGCTCCGCAGACAGATGGATATAATCGTGTCCGAGGTAACGGCACATTCGTTCCTATGTTTATGGCCATGCAGTCGTACCCATAATAAGGTGGACGTCATCGTGCCTGACATGAGATTTGATGATGATGATGCTGTTTCTCAAGGTGTCGATGATTAGAGACATCAGAGAACGTGAGATCAGAATTTACACAGATGCTGGACGAATCTGCCGACCACTGCTGATCGTCGAGAAACAAAAGCTACTGCTGAAGAGACGACACATCGACCAGCTGAAGGAGAGGGAATACAACAACTACAGGTGAGGCACAGAATACAGATTACTGCAGTAGAGTTTGTCCTTTGTCTCTGCAGCTTTTCTGTTGTCTCATCCACTCATCTCATCTTTGGCAACTGATCACAAAGAGTATGTTATTTCCTTTGAGTTTGACACTAGTTGTGCAGTGTGTTGGTTGTTCCATAAACTTTGCCTGTTCTTTCTGTAGAGTATGTGGATTTCTCCAGTAAAGTTTCGGTTGGCTGGCGACTCCAAATTGCCTGTAGGATTGGGAGTGAGCGTGGTTGTCTGTCTCTGTGTTTCAGCCCCGTGATAGACTGGCGACCTGTTCATGATGGACCCCACCTCTTGCCCAATGTCAGCTGGGATTGGCTCCAGCAAACCCCCTCAGTATAGATAATGGAGGGATGGGTAGAGTTTATATTTGCTGACCAGTTGTTGTTGGTTGGTTTGTTTGTGACGGGTAGCTGGCAGGACTTGGTGGCGAGCGGTGTAGTGGAGTACATCGACACCCTGGAAGAGGAGACAGTGATGCTCGCCATGACCCCAGATGACCTCCAGGAGAAGGGCGTGGCCTACTGCTCCACCTACACCCACTGTGAGATCCACCCGTCCATGATCCTCGGAGTCTGTGCCTCCATCATCCCCTTCCCCGACCACAACCAGGTATGAGCAAGTGAGATTAGAAGCAATGAAAATAAAATAATGTGAATATTAATGAAGGACAATCGTCTCTTTGCAGTAATGACAGCTGTTCTCAGTGATGATTGTTCTTGTTTAGTCTCCCAGGAACACGTACCAGTCTGCTATGGGTAAACAGGCCATGGGCGTCTACATCACGAACTTCCATGTACGTATGGACACGCTGGCTCATGTGTTGTACTATCCTCAGAAACCACTGGTCACCACCCGATCCATGGAGTACCTGCGCTTCAGAGAGCTGCCTGCAGGTATCACATGCCTGTACTGTCAGACTGATAACTTCAGCAGTTCAGAGATTATTTATCTAAGTAGGTTTTAGGTATAAAAATACAGGTAGAAAGCCTTGATACACTTAAGATAGAAAATGATGGACAAGATTGAGGTCCGGCCATTTTTTTTTTCCTTAAATACATTTTAGGCGAGTTTCAATATCTCCTTGGAGCCAGTGAGTGAGTTTGTGTTTACTGAGTTTAGGTTTCACGTTACTTGTTTGGCCTGCCAGCTGACTGCCAGGCAGAGTTCTCCTGTGTGTCTGTACTTGAAAGTTTCTTCATCTTTTGCAGGTATCAACTCCATCGTGGCGATCGCCTCTTACACAGGATACAATCAGGAGGATTCTGTAATCATGAACAGGTCGGCTGTGGATCGAGGCTTCTTCAGGTGAGTTGCTGCTGTTACCAGCGCTGTTTCCACTGTCTGAACATAATGCGTGGTACACCCCATACTTCCCTTAACCATCACCAAGCATAGCCTCCAGGGTTGGCACGGGCTGTCCTTCTGTACCGTATTTTCTCTGTCCTTTCTGTTTAGAAGAGGGAGGGGCTGCACCTCCAGTCAGCTATGCGTTTACACATGGTGCTTGTAATGCTAATGCTTGAGTTATGAAGACACGGACATTTAACCCCACCCGGTGGGATAAACACCTCCTCCTCACCACCGGTCAGGCAGAACTGATGAAGCCTCTTGGATTAGAGTGTGCAGATGCCTTCTAAGTTTTTTCAGCACAGACATTTAACCAATCATCACCAGCTGCTCTGCTTGCATGCACCCCCTCACCCCTCTGTACCTGGTACTTGATTTTAGTACTATCTCCTGAAAGGTGTTGAAATGTAGCTCCCAGACCGCACCTCCAAAGCAGGCCGACTGTAGTGGAAACAAATGCGGTGCCCGTGATGGGCATTATTCGGCACAACACATTTCAGTAGGTTCCTGTAATGGAAAAACGATATAACTATTTGTTTCAGTACACAGTTTATTTAAAACTGTTATTTCCACCCTGCAGGTCTGTTTTCTATAGGTCCTACAAAGAGCAGGAGTCAAAGAAAGGTTTTGATCAGGAAGAGATCTTTGAGAAGCCGACAAGAGAAACCTGTCAAGGTAAGAACTGGTTAAAAAAATAAATCATTGCTGGCTCCTGTTTGGTTGTAGCCTGGTGTTCACAGTCACCTGTCAATCATTTGAGGTGTTGTGAAGTCAAGTCACAAGTTTTAGATGCTGATGGTGGGCGGGGCTAACATTCTGTCACATAGTTACACGTTATGATTATCCTCAGGAATGAGACACGCCATCTATGACAAGTTGGACGACGACGGGCTGATTGCACCTGGCGTTCGTGTGTCAGGTGAGGATGTGATCATTGGCAAGACAGTAACGCTGCCAGAGAATGAAGACGAGTTAGACAGCACCAACCGGCGCTACATCAAGAGAGACTGCAGCACCTTCCTCAGAACCAGTGAGACCGGCATTGTGGACCAGGTGATGGTGACCCTAAACCAGGAGGGCTACAAGTTCTGCAAGATCAGGGTGAGGGGACAAAACACCTGACCATGAGGAAATTTAAAATTTGTTGTTAGCATTTTTTTTTACGACCACTTTCCTGTTTTCTGCAGGTTCGTTCAGTTCGTATTCCTCAGATCGGAGACAAATTCGCCAGCCGACATGGGCAGAAAGGAACCTGCGGGATCCAGTACAGACAAGAGGTAAACTGGAAGTCAACAGACACGATCAAATACTAATGAATTTGACGATTTTTAACCCAGACAGCGCAATTACAGTATGTCTTTGATGTCTGAAAGGTCTGTGTGGTTTGTATTGAAGGACATGCCGTTCACCTGTGAGGGAATCACACCTGACATTATCATCAATCCTCACGCCATCCCGTCCAGAATGACAGTCGGTCATTTGATCGAGTGCTTGCAGGGCAAGGTACTAATCAATCACTGTATCGTGCAATGATCATTTGACACAAGCATTCTGATCACAACGAAACAATAAATATGTACTAACAAAAGTATAAATAATAAAAAATTAGTGAATAAACAGAATCAAAAAGTTGATTTTGAGACACGTTGTCACCCTCACTGTCACATTTACGGAGATTTACAGACATGTTTACGTGTACAGTTTACTGTATGTTGGTACATGCGTTTTACATATTTATAATTTTCTGTCTTGTTTCAGGTGTCTGCCAACAAAGGTGAGATTGGCGATGCAACACCATTTAATGATGCTGTCAACGTGCAGAAGGTGTCGAACCTGCTGTCTGAATACGGATACCACCTGAGAGGAAATGAGGTCAGACTGAGGTCACACTGGTATTACATTAAGACACATGAACCTCGTGTCCACGTCAGTGTGACATCACTGTGATGTCACTCCTGGCCCTTCAGTCATGATCTGTATCATATTTAACCATTTAAAACATTTAAGTTGATTAGCAGCAAACAGGGAACATTCTGAACAGATTCAAGAAAAGCTGGTTTTAAACTGCTGACCATCAATACAACTGTCTGATAACTGACCATTGATCTGCGATCAGGTCCTGTATAATGGGTTCACGGGGAGGAAGCTGACATCTCAGATCTTCATCGGTCCGACATATTATCAGCGTCTCAAGCACATGGTGGATGATAAGATCCACTCGAGGGCCCGGGGCCCTGTCCAGATCCTCAACAGACAGCCGATGGAGGGACGATCACGGTGAGTAACACAGCTACACCTACTGTATATACACTCACAGTGAGACGATAACTTTTAGGTGAGACAGTTCAGAAAATGGTGGCTCCAGGCTCTGCTGAGCTTCACTCACTGCTACGGTTCATGGCATCTGCCAGAAAGACCCTGTGGTACCTGCCCTCACCTGTCGGCTTCACCTCTCTCCCCTCAGTGATGGTGGTCTGCGTTTTGGGGAGATGGAGCGTGACTGTCAGATCGCTCACGGAGCGGCCCAGTTCCTTAGAGAGCGTCTGTTTGAGGCATCTGATCCATATCAAGTTCATGTCTGTAACCTGTGCGGACTGATGGCCATCGCCAACACACGAACACATACGTACGAGTGTCGAGGCTGCCGCAACAAGACACAGGTGAGCATCGTCGATAACTGGTCACAACAGGACACAGATATCTGTGATTAATAACCAGGCAAATCAATTCAGTTTTTACAGATTTGTAGTGAGTCACTTCAGACATTTACTGCAGTAAAGGTCTGCAGGAGACTATGGGTTAAACTCCTGAAAAAATGTTATATCTTTGATAAAAAGGTCAGCGTTACAAGAAGCCTATGGACTTCAGATAAATGTTCCCTACATGTACGACTCCTGAGATGCATTTCTGCAAGAACGCTCTGGTCATAGAGCTTAAAACTGTCACGTGAGCCACTAACGGGAGGTTGAAGCTCAAGATGATTGAACTACTCTGAAAACAGAGTCTGTAGCTTGAATCAGTTCAAATTTAAAGTATTTTTAATTTGCTACAGCTCTGATTTACACCTGTCTCTCTTCTTGAACTGAGGCTCATGGGTATTGTATTCCTTGCACCTGTCTGCCAAAGTCATTTTGTGTGGTGTAACACAAATGTTCTGAAACCTTAGTAAATCTGTTTTTATACCTTTTTGTTTCTCTCTCTGTCCATTAGATCTCTCTGGTCCGCTTGCCGTATGCCTGTAAACTTCTGTTCCAGGAGTTGATGTCGATGAGCATCGCTCCTCGTATGATGGCTTCATAGTGGCGTGGTCAATCAGCCACCTCCCTGCTAACTTTCAGAGTAACAACAGCACAAAGTGAAAATAGAAGTTTGTTTTTAGTTTTCCCTCATGTTTTTTTACAAGTCAAATAAATCTGATTTTTGTCTGACGTTTATGGGTCACGTTTATAGTTTACACACAGTTCACATGATGAGATAAACTTTTTTTTTTAACGACGGGTACCCCTTCAGTGAACTAATACTGTACCGTTCATGCTGCTTCATTTTGCTCATAATGATCAGATATTTCTGTAGTGTTGATATGTTAACTCTGGGATCAGTGGCTTCATATACAAGTGTCAACAGCAGAACATCAGCTGGGCCTGAAAGGGCACATCTCTGCTGTCATGGTAACCCTAACCCTATTTCCTGTTTTATTTGCAAATGGAGTCTCTGCAGACTTTTATTGTTTGGTAGCAGCAGGAAACAGGAATTCGGCAGAAAAAGGAAGGCGGACAGAGTCATGCAGCTCAGCGAAATCACATCCTTATGTTTCATATACTGTACATGTAGGGACTTGGATCTTTTCTCATGTTTAACTTTCTCTGAGTAAAATGACCAATGACTTGCTGAATTTCCACAGACAAACCTGCCTTTTTCCAGGAGAGGACAAGTGTGGGCACAAAATATAAAATCAAATTAATTTTAAAAAATAATGACTAACTCCCACCAATATTCAAATTTGCCAGTTACTGTGGAAAATAGTTTTTATTTTTTATTGTCCCTATTTGATTGATTTAGCACTTATAATAAAGCTTATATTTGGTACTGTGTGGTGGATTACCGTGTATAGTTCAGTTTTAAAAACATTCTGTTCATAAAATCAGACACTTTGTTAGACATCTCTGAAATGTTTCCTAACATTAAAACATTTTTTGATCTGCTGGTGGGTTTAAATTCTGACCCATAAACACAAGTTGATCAAAATTTAAAACATTAAATCCAGATGTTTATCACAATGTTTATCATACTTATCAGTGCAAAGCTTCTTCTCCTGGTTTAATCATAACCACTTAGCAATAAATTATAACCAGAGTCACTGAACAGAGAAACAATTGTAGTTTCTCCTTTCATTTTAACTTTTGTCATGTACTGCCCATTTCCATCATCATAGTGTGATATGTATAGATTCTTATTTGTACATTTATTGCATTATAATATGTTATACTATCCACTGGCAGATCCCTTTTTGGTCTGTAGGCATTTTATAGGCCGCACACAAGCCAACAACTGCCAGTGCAGCCTCAAGGGGCAAAAGACACACAAACGCCTGAGTGCTGCTGGCTAATTCTGATCTGAGGTCAGATTAATAAATGAATCAACCCACAATGTAAACAGTCAGTCTAAACAGATTTACTGTAAAGACCTTCGACCTCAGTGTTTGTATTTACTGTGACAAACAAAATGACTCTTCACTTCAGCTCAAGTACTGACTGTTCAGAGAATAACGTGGACCAGGCCTGAGACACATTCATAGAAAACCAATACTGCAGAAGTATTTGATGTATGTGTAACCCGGTTGCACAAGCAGGGTTAAGATAGAAGCAAATAACACCAAGTATTAACCAATCACAAAGTCGTATTCAAATAACTTATTTTCTTCACTGTATCTATAGTTGGTGTTAGTCAAATTATTTAGCTAGATCAGGAACATTGTAGAAAATTGACGGACGTTTTACAGTGTAACACAGAGTTCACAGTGCAGTTTCCGTATCCAGCTTCGCACGAGGGAAAAGGAAAGAACGCTCTGTGTATTACGTTGAGCTTGAGAAATACTGGTACTGAAGAAAAGAGAAAAAGAATAGTTAACGCCAGGAGGATAATCATAACGAGGGAGAATGGTGCGGGAGCTGTAGAACATCAGGAGTCCTGTTCTTCTGCTCGTCTTGCTTTCCTCGCCTCGGTCAGGTCTTATATTGAAGTCGGAAGCACTGGACATTCCGTGGAGAAGATCTACAGATCCCTTAGATGGTGAGCCACCCAATGGATCTCCTGGAAATCAGCACTTATACGGCTACAGAGCAAGTGGATGAACAACCTGCTTATGGTAGGATTGAACCAGTCACTGCCACCTAACTGAATACATTTGGAGGTATTCCTTGACTACTGGATACTGCTTTATTGAAAACTTCTGAGTGAATCCTATCGCTCACTGACATTTACTTGACTTCAATAAGAAAGAATTCCTCCAGAGGACAATACCCCTTATAGTGATCACTAAGAGAAGTTAAGGACAATTTTATTTTAAGGGCCCAATTTTCATTTCTATTGAATGTTCTGTAACTTTGTTGTTTCTAAACAGTTAATAAAATTGCAGTTGGTTAAGTTTATTGACTTGTGCTGGTTGGTGATTTCACACTACACTTAGCTCCTCCTGAACCTAGAGCGAGGTGTACATACCCACGAGTGGGTTACATGTGCATTATTCTGTGTATTTATTTGTAATATTTGTTGATGAATGCAGACAGAAGGTCTCTGTATGGAGAGTCTGATCGATGAGTTGGCAGGCGGAGGATTTTGTGGATCGCAGGAGATCGAAGGAGGAGGTTGTGACAGAACCCCACCAGACTGGAGGTAAACCAGTACAGGGCCATGGACTGGAGGAGGGGGGGGGACAGAAAACAAAGGGATGTTAGAGAATCTGAACTGCTGCATGATCACATGAACACACTGATGCTCCAGAGAACCTGGTCACTGGAAACAAAACCTGAACCTGAGTCTCCACTGATGTCGGACCTTATTCTGTGTAAACAGAACCTGTCCGACTAGACCCAAGGATTATGTCTGCTCTGCTGACAGTTAGACCCGGTACATATAAACCTCATTAGTCTAAAGCTTAATTGATTAATCACATACTTGTTAGAAAATTAATCAGACTTTTTCTTAATCATTCAATCACTTTTAGTAATTTTAAAAAAGTCTAAACTTCATTGTTTTCTGTTTTTCACAGTTTTCTATCACCACTGAATAAAATGAGTCACTTTGGGCTGTAGGAAATCACAATGTGTGTTTGTTTTCTGACATTTTATAGACAAAACAGTTAATAAGATGCATTAATAATTTAAATGATCATGTTTGAATAACACTGGATCCAAAATGAACCAGGGGAAAGTCTGACAGAATCGGGTATTAAAATACAGACCTGAAACGTGTTGCCACACAACAGGACCTGATCAGACCAGATGTAATCCAGATCAACTCAGGTCCTGGTTCAGGTCTCAGCTTTCCATCAGAAACATATTTTAGAGTTTGATATGCATGTTCTGATCTTAGACAGATAAAATGTGTGTGTTTACTCTGATGAGCACGTGATGCTGACAGGAATGCGTGAATGTCTGACAGATGAGAAAAAACTTGACATGTTGAGAGAAAAAGTCCAAGAGTCATCGAATAGATCTGAACATGAACCCTGCAGCAGAATGAAAACTCCGTATTCCTCCTGTTGGCACCTGGACTCACAGTGAAACTTTCAAAATAAAGTGTCTCCTTAAAACTTGCTGAATCAGGTTCCCAGTGGGGTCCCTGCAGGTTTTAATGTGGAACCAGGCACTGGTGCAGCCAATCAGAAGAGACGATTTTATACTTGAGCTATGAGCAGAGTACAGTCTTTTACTTTTCTGACTGACTGGAAATCTGCTGTGGACACCGATACAGTCTGCTTGTGTGTGCGGAGGGGGGATCAGTAGTAAAGTTTGAATATTCAAAATCTATACATTTAGAATCTACTGGAACCAACACCACATGACAAATTAAATGATCAGAAAAGATAACTGCGAGCTGCGCCTGTGACTCACAGAGGGGACAGTAGCAGCAATGGGGACCATCAGGACTGAAAATCCTCTGACGCAGTTCAGCAGAAGCTTCTGGAAATAAGTCGGACTGACTCTCTGCAGAGCAAACACCTGAAGAAGAAGAAGACACAAATTTAGAATAATGACATCACAGGTCACATGATGAAACACCTGCTGACAACCTGACCTCCACAATGAGCAGGTTGGTGAGTCCCACACAGACAGGTAGGATCCAGGTGGAGTCAGGTGAGGTGAGGTCATGGAACCACAGAGCGCCCCCTGCTGCCAGGCCACACTGCAGAGCTGCACATAGTGCGTACATGGATTAACAAGACAACCAGGCACAAGGACAGTTTCTTCCCCCGGGCATCACTCTGATTAACACTTAACCCACGAGGGTATGACTGGTCATATAGATCTGTCGAATGCATCTAGACTGTGTGTGTATGTATATATGTATATGTATAGGTCTATTTTTTAAGTACTTTTATTCTTATTTTTACCTCATTTCCTAATGCACATTCCTTTGTCTGTCTGCATTGTTTATACTGTTTATATTGTTTTATTACACAGCCTTATGTTGGTTTACTGTTTACTTTGCCCTTGCTGTTGCCGTACATAAGGATATGTACGTACACATTGAGAGCCGATGTACCAGAGTCAAATTCCTCGTGTGTCCGTCACACCTGGCCAATAAAGCCAATTCTGATTCTAAATATGACACATCTAAATCTAATTTGTCAGCCTACATTTTGCAGAGTTCTGCTTTTGTGGTTACATTCAAATAAAATCTTTAAATTCCTCGTCGTACTCCAGCAGAAGCTTTCTCTCTGCTGCACTGACAGACTGCGCTCTCTCCCTAGACATCAGCTAATCACGGTTTCAGTTGTCGATATATTTGGTCTAGTCACTGACCACGAGAGCATGTGCATCTTGGATTACTGAATCCATCTTTTCTAATCCATAACACAGGTGGGGTCTGAAGAACCAGAATATCCAGATAACCTTAGCTAGCATTAGAAAATCTAAGATTGCTCATTTGATCTAGGATCTGTTTAATGATTTATGAAGAACACCCCCGCAGACCAGGACCCAGAATGATGCATAGTGCGACCAATGACAGCATGAGAGCTGATTCTTCATAGATCTGTGTCTCATGAAGCTTCACACAGGTGTATGTATTTGCAGTGATCACAGTAAATTTTTCAGGTGTCTTTATGTCCATGGCCTCAATGTTCGAAAGATGGACAGAATGACCAAGTGGGACCATTAATAAAGAGGTCTTGAGTAACAGACAGGATTCTGATCTCCTCCAGACATTAACTCCCTGTGCTCAACATGATCTGTGATGTGGACTCGGTATGATGGGGAAGTGAAAGGTTGTCAGGACCAGGACTTGTTCAGGCTCTGGCCCAGACTGCGTCATCTTACCAGACTGATCCAGGCTCAGGTTTCGAAGGGCCAGAGAGAGGCTAATCCAGAGGGGCAGCTGAATCCAGATCAGTATACTGGCTTTGAAGGGGTGACAGTTGTCTCTGATGTAGAGCTGAGAAACAATGCGACGCAGATTCTTTTGGAACTGGAACCTGCACACAAACAAGCAACAGAGAGTTTGAGGGGGATAAATGAAGAAGTCTTGGCACTGATAGCTGTTTGTTTGTTTGTTACCGGCATTGTTTGTCCGTCCAGCCTCTCTCTCGTGCTTGGACTGAAACTTCGTATCGAAGCCTCTTCGCCAGCTCAGAAATCTCCACCTGCAGCGCCTCTACCTGTGCATCACCTAGAAGTTACTATGGTTACCGTGATAGAGGAACAGGTTACTGTTGAGTCCAAATGATACCATTTGTGTTGTTGTGAGCTGCTACTCACATGTAACTCATCATGTATGAGTGCAGACAGAACATGCCAATAAACAGGACCACGTAAACAGTTAGCGTAGTACAAACATGTGTTTCGGAATGAGAGTGAAGAACACATCATCGCTGAGGAAACATGACTGTCACGTTTACTGTCTCAAATCTGACATTAATTTTTATTAAAGCCTCAAAAGCCATTGATTTCCTGATTGTTGGTTCTGTGTCATCACTACATCTACATCATTCTATCTGAACATTAAAACTGTTGTCATGTGAGATCGTTCTGTGCCCATACTGACAGTCTCCAGGTAGTTTCAGCAGAGAGCTCTGTCCACTATGAACAAGATAAAACAGGTAAATCTCTTCATCGTTGTCTTCAGTTAAACAAAACAGCATCACAGCAGCATGTAGTGAGGAGGGAGACAGATACATAGCTGACTGAGGAAATCACTGTTTTATCATCCAATCAGGTTAATGGTGTTTAAATTGATCGATCACAACACATAGAAGACAGTGGAAATGATAGTGGATTTTAGGAGGAGCACCCCCACCCTATCTCTGCTCACTGTACTCAGCAGCACTGTTTCAGTCGTGGAGTCCTACAAGTTCCTGGGCTCCACTATCTCCCAGGACCTGAAGTGGACGTCCAACATCAGGACCATCACCAAGAAGGCACAGCAGAGGATGTACTTCCTGCTCCAGCTCAGGAAGTTCGACCTGCCCCAGGAGCTGCTGATCCAGTTCTACAGAGGAATCATCCAGTCTGTTCTCTGCACCTCCATCACTGTCTGGTTTGGCTCAGCAACCAAACAGGACAAGTACAGACTTCAGAGGACAGTCAGGACTGTAGAAAAGATCATTGGTGTGAGCCTGCCCTCCATGGAGGACCTGTACACCTCACGGGTCAAAAGGAGGGCAGAGAGGATCACTGCTGACCCCTCACACCCTGGACACAATCTGTTGGAACTCCTCCCCTCTGGACGGTGTTACAGGTTACTGTGCACCAAGACAACCAGGCACAGGGAGAGCTTCTTCTCACAGGCTGTCATTGTTGACTAGTTAGTCTATGTTTGCTCTTTTAACATGTGCTTTTTAACTTGTATATATTTTGTTTTCATTGCTGTGCACACCGGGGGCCATTGGGCTGGAGTCAAATTCCTTGTATTTTTGATAATACTTGGCAATAAGGTTTATACTTATGCTCATGCTTAAAGCTGTGTTCAGTGCCCTCAGTTTATTTATCTACTTTATATTTCACTTGTATTGTGGCATTCATGTGGACGGCAAAGTAAGAATTTCATTGTACAGGGAAACATGTTTCCTAACTGTGCATATGACAAAATAAACGCTTTGAACTTTGAACTCATGCCTCAGTGTGCTTTAACACCAGCCAAGTGACATCATTTACATGTTTTTCTGTTTCTGTTGTCAGACAGTGAACTGGGATCAGACAGTGAACTGGGATCAAACAGATTTAACCAAAGAAAAAGTGAGAAAGTTCATGAGGACAGAAGTTGCAGTTTTAGACTGGTTGAAAGAGGAAGATGAAAAGTAAAGTCTGAGACGGAACCGGTGTAAATGTGTCTGATATGAGGAGTACACGACTCGTGGGAGTGCGTGTTGTTGTGGGGATTCCTGAAATACTTCATCTCTCTGAGGACAAAGTGTTAACAGTCTGATATGAGTTCACATTTACAGACACAATCTCAGTATACATTTAAACACTTTACACAAGTCTGACATTTTAGGTTTACTGTGTGAGCACTGTAAATGTTGTGACTTTCATCTGCCGGATTACATTATAGATATTAATATGAATTTATGTAGTTTCACATCTGATCTGATGACACTTCATGAGACCTGTGGCCAATCTAATGGTTCATACACAATATCTGAGTAACATGGAGACTGACCCTGGAGATGATGACCAGCTGGTAGGCGGCGAGCGGCAGAGTGATCACTGTCCTGACTGACAGTGTTGCCACGGTGATACTCAGCCACCATGGCAACCCGCTCACCTGCTGCATGCTCACCAGGAAGTTTTCACACAGATGAACTGGAGCTGAGTCTGCCAGGCCACTGTACCATCCTGAAGCACCTGGACCACCTGGAACATCAGCACCACTAACACCTGACAGAGTCCTGACAGATGACCTGTGGAGGCAGACTGTGGGTGCAGACCAGGTAAAACCAGGTGTTGGTGACTTTTTGTGGATCACAGCTGAACAGAGTCCTCGAACAGGAAGCCGCAGGAGGCTGCACCTCACCGATCCCCTGACACTCAGCATGGTGACCCTCACCAAAGTCCTGAAACGCAATGAGACAAACAGGACTATGGATTAAAGAAGAGTCCAGTATCCTGAACCCCAGTTTATTCAGAACTAGATCACCAACCTGAGATGAAAGGGACCCTGAAACCGGACTGATCAGGTGAACATGCCTGAGATCTCTGGTGTCAGACTTATTAAGGACTTAAACAACAGTAAGCTCTATACATTAAGGCAGCTGCACGATTCAGACCTCGTTATAAAACACGTGGATTTAACACGTTATAAAATAACGTGTTAAATCGTGAACTCATCAAATAGTGGACAGATGTTAACAGCCTCCCTATCATACACGTTAAAAACACCAATTAAAAACGGAACATGAACGTACCCGTGTGACGTCAGCCGTTTCGTGACCTGTTCCGGGGCTTCACAGCGAAGGACAATAAAGCCTTAAAACCAAGATTTTTATTATTATTATTATTATTATATTTTACTCTTTCACCTTCATACCCCCATCCTGCAGCAGCGTCCCATAAATGTAACGTCACATGGTTTACCTCAGCGTGTCGAGAAAATATGACGTCATAGAGAGGACATTAAAAATAAAAGTCTGCTGAAACAGGATAAAACCAATTATCAAAACAAAAAAGGTTACATTTTAGATTAAACAGTAGATTATCAAACAGTCAATTCACAATATGCCTTGTGGACAGAGACTGTGTTCCAGAGCTCCTGTTACGTTCATGTTCTCTTACGGGGGGCGGGACCAGGAAAGCTGGGCCGGGACACCATGACTGAGGGTTCTGGTGGGACTAATGGGCGTCGGCCAACATGTAATTAATCGGGTGGAGGTATCTAACGGAAATTGTTGTTTAGGGGCTGTGGTGTTTGAGTCACCGAAGTGCATTGAAAGACCATTATTCGCTTTTCACCCAGTCTGATACAGCAGTGCTGCAATAAATCCTCCTTCATGAGAGTGGCAACCATATTTATTTATATAGCACTTTAAAAACAACACCCAGTTGACCAAAGTACTTTAAAGGCCCAGAGTACAACCACAATAAATAGCTAAAATAAAATCAATACAATCGAAGATTCGAATGATGGCGCCGCAGATGGTTCTGTACCGGAAACAAATTGCTTGTATCTAACATACTTGGCCAATAAAAAGGTGATTATCTTTATCATGTGTTCAGAATCAATGTTCAGTTTGTGTTCACACTGTTTCACAGAGGTGTTGGTTTACCTGTGTGATAACTGGAGGCTGCGGCACTGTTGGACTGGACTGTGTCAATACTGAGAGCTGCATTGTTTAGCCTCACTGATATACATGGGGTGGGCACAAAAAATAAAAGAGCTTTCTGTATAATGCAATACAAAGTAGCAAAGTAAAAGTATAAAATAGCAATGACCAGTCACCACCCGCCCCCTCTGCCTCACAGTGGACCAGGTTAGGAGGGAGTTAGGGAGAATTAAGGCCAGGGAGGGCCACAGGCCCTGACCACATCAGCCCCAGGGTCCTCAGGGAGTGTGCAGACCAACTCAATGAAGTGGTCCTGTACATGTTTAACCTGAGTCTTAGCCTGGAGAGAGTCCCGGCTCTGTGGAAGACATCCTGCATGGTCCCGGTTCCCAAAATATCTCATCCTAAGGAGCCGAACCACTGACCTCCCACCTGATGAAGACCATGGAGAGGATTGTCCTGGGCCACCTCCGTGCCCAGGTAAGCTTGACGCTGGACCCGCTGTAGTTTGCATACCATCCTGGCATCGGGGTTGATGACGCCATTATCTACATGCTGCATCGAGTCC